CTCATGCTTACATTGGTAGCACATATATTAAAAGTCTGCTGCTGGCTGGGCGTGGTGGCACATGCCTGTAATCCCAGCACACAGGAGGCTGAGGCAGGAGGATCACAGAGTTTGAGACCAGCATGGGCTACATAGTTCCAGGTCAGTCTTAACTATGTAGTGAGACTCTGTCTCAAAAAACAAAAGTCTGCTGCTGAAAGCACAATTTCTACATTGTGATTAACTAGCATCTTTTACACAAATGTATCCTGCTGAAAGTAATACGAAGAATACATTTGTGGGCCAGGGATTTAGCTCAGTGGTTCAGCTGCCTGCCTTGCAAGCACAAGGCCCCGAGTTCAATCCCAAGTACAAAAAAAAAAAAAAGAATATATTTGTTAGGATCTTATATAGTAGGTTATCAACTACTTTTGAAATTATTAAAACACAAAATACATCAAACTGCTGTACTAAAGTATACTTTGGTAGGTGGTTACTGAGAATTGCATCTTTTATAAACTCGTAAAGAATGAGACCAAGCTTCTCGCCTGCCTCCGGCCTCCCGTTACATCTGTTCAGAGGGGCTGCGGTGACCCGGCCTCCAGTGTGCCCAGCAGGGGAAATTGGTGGCGAGGGAATAGCACTACTGGGCTTACTGCAGGGGGGCGGGTCAGTGCTGGGACAGGCAGTGGAGCGAGCGACTGGCGGCAGCCTCCTCTCCACGCTGCTGGTGGCCTGCGCCTTCATGCTCAGCCTGGCTTACCTGTTCCGCCTCGCCCGTTGGCCACCTGGTCCACCTGCCGTGGAGCGAAAACTCCACCACACATTTTCTCCCCAGTTCCATTCCTTGGGCGTGCTGTAGCATTTGGGAAAAATCTGATTGAGTTCCTAGAGAATGCATTTGAGAAGTATGGACCGGTTTTTAGTTTTACCATGGTGGGCAAGACATTTACTTACCTTTTGGGGAGCGATGCTGCTGCATTGCTTTTTAATCGTAAAAATGAAGACCTGAATGCAGAAGATGTCTACAGTCGTCTGACAACACCGGTGATTGGGAAGGGAGTCTCATATGATGTGCCTAATGCAATTTTCTTAGAGCAGAAGAAAATGTCAAAAACTGGACTTAACATAGCCCACTTTTAATAGTACGTTTCTTTAATTGAAAAAGAAACACTGGAATACTTTCAAAGTTGGGGAGAAAGTGGAGAAAAAACATTGTTTGAAGCTCTTTCTGAGCTCATAATTTTTACAGCTAGCGATTGTTTACATGGAAAAGCAATCAGAAGTCAACTCAACGAGCAGGTGGCACAGCTGTATGCAGATCTGGATGGAGGTTTTAGCCATGCAGCCTGGCTGTTGCTGGGTTGGCTGCCTCTGCCTAGTTTCAGACGCAGAGACAGAGCTCATAGAGAGATCAAGAATATTTTCTATAAGGCAATTCAGAAGCGTAGGCAATCAAAAGAAAAAATTGATGATATTCTCCAAGTTTTACTAGAATCCATGTACAAGGACGAGCACCCTCTGACCGATGACGAAATAGCTGGGATGCTTATTGGACTGCTTTTGGCAGGGCAGCACACGTCCTCAACCACTAGTGCCTGGTTGGACTTCTTTGTGGCCAGAGACAAAGCACTGCAAGAAAATGTTATTTAGAACAGAAAACAGTCTGTGGCGAGGATCTGCCTCCCTTTACAGATGACCAGCTCAAGGATCTAAATTTACTTGATTGCTGCATAAAAGAAGCATTAAGACTTAGGCCTCCTGTAATGACAGGATGAGAATGGCCAAAACTCCTCAGACTGTGGCAGGGTATACCATTCCTCCAGGACATCAGGTGCGTGTTTCTCCCAGTCAATCAGAGAGTTAAAGACTCCCGGGTAGAACGTCTGGACTTTAATCCTGATCGCTATTTACGTGATAACCCAGCATCAGGAGAGAAGTTTGCCTATGTGCCATTTGGAGCTGGGCGACATCGTTGTATTGGGGAAAATTTTGGCTATATTCAAATTAAGACAATTTGGTCCACTCTGTTTCATTTATATGAATTTGATCTCATTGATGGATATTTTCCTGCTGTGAATTATACAACTATGATCCACACCCCTGAAAACCCAGTTACCCATTATAAACAGAGGTCAAAATGAAAAACACCAACAGGAACTAATGGGACATCAGTGTAAGCTGCAAATGCATCTGTTGAGAATGAAGTGCATGAACAACACTCTCATAGTGCTGTTTTTTAAATTCTAAGACAGTTTAATTTATGATTTTAATATTTTATTAAGTGATCTATCAAATCATATTTGAAACATGAAACATTTTATAGTTTTGATACTGTGGCGTGCTTTAAGGAAGCCAAGTTTATAGTAAAAAAATTATTCAGGGTGAATGTAGGTAATTGGCAGATTCTAAATGATATAACCTTTGGGTACTAACTTTAAAAGCATACAGAGCGCTTGGCAAATAAGGTCAGGAGAGTCATATCTGGGCCCAGTTCTGCAGGGTGTGAAGAGCTCAGGGATACTTGGAAGATGACAGGTCATTCATTTATCTTGGTAATTTTTTTATGTAAGGACAGAAGGGTCGGGAATCAACTCATAGTGGAAGCCTTGGATAAAAGAGAATACTGTTAATTGTTTTGGTGTGAAGATAGTTACCAGTGATTGAGCTATAATGTAGAAAAATCCTCTGAATTCTAACTGGAAGCATTTATTATAGGAAGCTGAAAGAGGTCACCTGTTTTTGCCTTGATAATATTTCCTAAAAATATTAAAGATTGCTTGTGTGGTGTTTTGCTGTAATTGCTAAGTATCAGCTATTTCTCCATCTGCTAAATAATGTATGTTTCCATATAAAGTCCTCAGTAGGCAGGTTTTTCTTCCTTGGCTGAAAGTTTTTAGCTGCCTCCTTTCCAACATCCAATTTGGGCTTGTTTCTATTACTAGTTCTTTTTATGTGTGTGTGTGTGGTACCAGGGATTGAACTCAGGACCTTGTGCTTGCCAGGCAGGCATAGTGCCACTAAGCTACATCCCAGGCCCTATTACTAGTTCTTTTGATTCAAACAGTTTAACATTTTGAACTGAGGACTAAAGCATATGAAGCAGGGTCACTGAAAAATAAGTATTATTAGTCATATTCTGTGAAGCCTGTGTTTGGGATTCAGCCTAACTCAAATATTCTGGAAACCTAACTATGCTAGATACTTGCAGTTTGACCACATAATCTGTGAAGCCAAAATATTTTCCCTTGTGTATATTACATTCTGTTTAAGAGGCTAGAAGATTCATGTTAGACTCCTGCGAGCCAAATCTCTGCTGTTATTTTTGGCATTAAAACTCTCAGAGAAAAAAAAAAAAAAAGACTGAGACCATTTTTGACTCTGTCAAGAACATTTTTTTTTTTCTCTCTTTCAGTACCAGGGATCAAACTCAGGATTTTGTGCTTACCAGGCAGGTGTAGCACTACTAAGTTATAACCAGAGTATTTATTTATTTATTTATTTATTTATTTATTTATTTATTTATTGTACCAGGGATCAAACTCAGGAACTTGTGCTTGCAAAGCAGGGGGCAGAAGCACTGAGCTAAATACCCAGCCCCCAAAGAACATTTTAGAAAAAGGATTTTGATAGTATGGACACAAATAAGCAATCATATACAAAATAATTTATTAAACCATTTCTGGGTTGCCATTATTTTACAGTGAGTTTTCTTCTTTCTCAGCAATAATGAATCTAAGAAGATTAGGGTAAAATGTTTTCTAAATTAAATCTCCACTTTTATGTTTACATTTGCTTAAATGGACACAATAACATTACAGTCATATTTACAGATCTGAGACATACTAAGTGATCATTACTGTTTTCTATACAACATTCAATAAAAGGCTATCTCCCCCAAATTGAACAATGTTATGACTTAATGGTTAAATCAATTTAAATTCTCATTTTACTGAGAAATATAAAAATGCATTTAATAGTTAATGCATGGCTGTAAGAGTAACAGTGCTTACCAACAGACCTAAGAGACAACCTACAATGTGGGAAAAAATTTTTACCAGCTGCTCCTTAGATAAAGGACTGTTATCTAGAATATATAAAGAACTAAAAAAAATCAGGACCCCCAAATACAAAAACCCAATTCAAAAATGGGCATCTGAAATGAACAGACACTTCTCAGACAAAGAAGTAAAAGCAAATAAATATATGAAAAAATGTTCCACATCACTGGTCATTTGAGAGATGCAGATGAAAACAACATTGAGATTCCACCTCACCCCACAAAGAATGGCTGCTATCAAGAAATCAAACAATACCAAATGTTGGCGGGGTTGTGGGGAGAAAGGAACCCTTTTCCATTGTTGGTGGGAGTGCAGACTGGTGCAACCACTATGGAAATCAATATGGAGATATCTCAAACAACTAGATTAGAGGTTCCATTTGACCCATCCCTGTGCTGGGTATCTTTCCAAAAGATTAAAAGAATCTTACCACACTGATATATGCACACCCATGTTTATAGTGGCCCTGTTTATCACAGCTAAAACTTGGAAATGGCCCAATTGCCCATCAGTTGGAGACTGGATAAAGAACATGTGTTTTTTTCTATAAAATGGAATACTACTCAGCCATAAAGAATGAGAAACTAGAGTCATTCATAGGAAAAAGCATGCATATTGAGGCCATATTCCAAAGTGAAATAAATAAGACACACATGTGTAAAAACAGAATAGTTTCTCTGGTGTGAAAAACTAAAAGTGTAAATAAGACACAAATTGTATAACTGATATTGTGAAATAGGAAGAAAAGGGCTAAAGGTGTAGGGGAAGCAGGAAGGGGTAGGGGAATGGAAATAAGGGGAAAGAAAAAATATGAGAAAAGGAAAAATGGAAACAAAGTCTCTGTAAATAGGGGAGGTTGGAGGGTGTGGAAGGAGGGCAGGGTATGGGGAAAAATGAGAACCAAGACCTGTCATGTAAAGGTACAAGATCCCAATGATGAATGTAACTGTACTGTATACTTAAAAAGTACCAATAAACTCAATGAAAAAAAAAAAGAAAGTAACAATGCTTCACTTTTGTTTTCTGCCCTATTATGCACCCTTAAGGCATGTTTCTTAGCATAAACTACTTGTTAGTATTCAAAGTAATTAAGGCAAGAAGGTATAATTCTTCCATTTGGGTTTTAAGTCTACCTACTACTATATGATATGAAACAAATTTACCAGTGAACTTCCGTGATTAAGAGGTAAACCAATCTTCACATCCTGAATAATCTACATAAATAATGGAGTACCCTTATCCATCCAAAAAGTATCATATTTTTATGGATAATTATAAAGGAAATGGCAAGTGATTAAAAAAATCAAAGTTTAAAACAAGCAAATTAAAGTTCAAAATGAATCTCACTGTGTGCCAAGAGAAATTCTATTTTTTAGAATATGTCAATACTTTAAAACAACACCCAAAAAGGGGGGAAAGATAAGCAAAGAAATAAACAATAATAAAACAAATCAGTAAGACAAGGGATCAAAATGGATCCTGAAACTGGGATCTAAAAAAAGTGATACAGAGAGTATATATACAACTTTATCTTAATAAAGAAATTGCCTTCATTTTGATACATAAGAAATAATACTACAGTGCTGATAGATAATTTGGGAGTTTAAGAAAAACTGTACGAGTATAAAAAAATAACTTTAACCCAAATTTATGTAAATTGGCAGTCAGATAAAGAAAATAAACTTACAGAATACGCCTTTTAAAAATTCTATCCACATATTTCATTTCATACAAATATTAAAATGCAGTCTAGAAAATAAACTGTGATATAAATTTAGTTTAGGTTCTGTAGGAGTCAGTTTTCTACAAGATTCAAATTTCATTTGCCAAGACGTAGTTAGCTGGGTAGTTCAGTGCTGCACTAGGACTATGGACTTCAGTCACAGGAGGCAGAAAAGCAGACGCAAAAGAAAGCAGGTTGTGACTCATGATCCTGGATTCTTCACATTGGGAGTTACAGTTTCCCAAGCTTCCATCAAGAAGTGCCTCAGAAACCTTTGTTAAAGGTCTAATGAAGCAAGGGGGAAAATAGAAACTATTTTTTAAAAATGCTCAGTTATGGACTTTACTGAAAAGTCAATAATTTCCTAATTAAACCAAGATAACAAGGCCTCAGTCTAAAATAACTATTATCTATAATCACCTCAAAAAAAAAAAGAATAAAAGTCAACTCTACAAAGCTGTAAAAGAGGCAGCAAAATCTAACAGTTGAAATAAAAGGAAACTTTAAAATTACAATCACTAAAAATGAAAGTGTCCTTTATTAATAATAGCTCATATTTACTTCATGGTTTGTTACTCCAGATAACTCTTACATTGACTCAGAAATGGATAGTACAGTACTTCATCTTTCAAATGTGGAAAAGAAGGCCAAGAAAGAACTTGCATAAAGCCACACAACTAACAATTTGTGGAGCTGAGATCTGTATTGAGATCTAATTTAAGAGGATCCACTTAAGAATTATACTGTAGGGCCAGGGATTTAGCTCAGTGGTTTCGCTGCCTGCCTCAAAAGCGCAAAGTCCCGAGTTCAATTCCCAGTACCAAAAAAGAAAAGAAAAGAATTATATTGTAGCCAGGTGTGGTGGCAAACACCTGTGACCCTGCACTTGGGAGGCTGAGGTTGGAGGATTACTGCCAGTGTGAGGTAAGCCTGGGCTACCTGAGTTCAAGGTCAGCATAAACTCAGTGACCAGAGAAACCAAAAAACCAAAAAGAAGACTCCTACCTCCCAAGTACAAGTTCTCAAGTTTGATTCCCCGGTACCAAAAAAACAAAAAGCAAGAGAACTATATTGTAAAGACACAAGTGTTTTTTGTTTTGTTTTGTGGTACCAGGGATCGAACTCAGGACCTTGCACCTGCCAGGCAGGCCCAGCACCACTGAGCTACATCCCTAGCCTGACACACGTTTTATTACATTGGTGTTATTACAAGTTTTATTACTGGTGTTCACTTATCAGCCTGTTGAAAAGTCTTACCTTTACATTTTTATCTTTGATAGTTTCATCCTATCTAGTAGCTATAGCAACTGCTTTCTCTTGTCTTGACTTGTCCAGAAAATACATCATTGTAGCGCCTGAAATTCTAAGACATTTTAAGATAAGTAAACTCCTATGGCTTATACTTTATAAGATTAATATTGACCAATGACTTAAAATATGGTTTCAAGTATTTAATCAATGGTGGGCTGGAGCTGGTTCCCACCAGCTCTCAGAAGCCAACTGTGACATCTTTTCAATTTGTTTGGTATCAGGGATAGAACTCAGGACCCTATGCTTTGAAAGCAGGTGGTGGAATCACTGAGCTAAATCTCCGGCACAAAGGTTAGATCTCCCAGCAGATGGGCTCAGTGGTGTCTTATGTTCTTTTTTTTACCCTCCATTTATTAAAAAATTTTTATTAATGCAGTACATAATGATTACATTCACTATGGGGAACTGGTACAAGTACATAATATACCCTTTCTCACTTCCTACATAGTGACACAACTCGTTGATAGGTTATGGCTACAATGTAACTACTGTCATCACGACAAAACACTACAAATCAGAGCAGTCTTCCTTCACAAATGGCTATTAAACATTTACGTAACAGTACTTTTAACTTTTTCTCCTTAGAAATATAAATAGAAGCCAGGCATGGTGTCTCACACCTGTAATCCCAGCACTCGGGAGGCTGAGGCAGGAGGATCACTGTGAGTTCAAGACCAGCCTGGGCTACGCAGTGAGTTCCAGGTCAGTCTCAACTACATAGTGAGACCCTGTCTCAAAAAACCAAAACCAAACCAAACCAAAACAAAAAATATATATATATAGAGAGAGAAATACCAATAAAGACTAGCCTATGGTATCAATCAATATTTCAATCAAAACAAGACAATACCCTAAACTAACAAATCATTGATACACAGGAGTGTGGTTAGGAACAAGAGAAAAAGTCTGCATTCTCACAAAGAAAATAGTCTTTTAAAAGTTTACATTCCTCCTATAAATTATGTTTTGTATTCCATATTTGTTTTTCTATTAGATTCTTATTAGCCCTTTGCATATCAGGTTTTGCTAAATTACATTTCTGTGAATAGTTCTTCCAACTGGTGTTTTGATTTTAGTTTTTATGTGCTGAAATTTTCCTTTGCTTGAATTTCATGCGTTTGTTTGTTTATTTATTTATTTATGGTACTGGGGATCCAATTTGGGACCTTATGCTTGCGAGGCAGGCGGAGGAACCACTGAGCTAAATCCCCAGCTCTCATATGTTTAAGAAAGCATTTCCTACATTCATTTTTTAAAAAAACTTCTCTATTATCCTGTTCTTGAAGAGAAATTTTCTGTTTCTACCAAGAAATGTAAATTTTCACAAGTAATACTTTTTCTATAGATATTAGTCATGAGAAAATAATCTTAAGAAAGCTTAGGTTAAAATATTTAAACACATGGCTTAAGATAGTTACTTATGCTTTTTCATTTTGCCCCCAACTTCATTTATAATTTTTTCTGAGTTTAATTTATGCCCTATTGCCTTTTTATAAATTTGTAGTACCAGGGATTGAACTGAGAACCTTGTGTTTACCAGGTACACGTGGTTTTTATTAATTTGTATAAACTCTCTAAAATACTTCCCATAAGAATTTAGGATATAAATAAATCTTCAAGATAGAAAATACACAGGGGTTATGTCACCCCTATGAAGGGGGTGAATGTGGGGCAAGGGTATGGGGAAAAAAGAAGAACCAAGACATATAAAAGAAATGATCCCAGTGATAAATGTAACTGTATGGTTTGCTTTAAATGTACCAATAAACTTAATGGGGGGGAGATAGAAAATACACAAAAGCAATAAAAATTCAAGAAAAAATAAATTACTCATAACCACAGCTCTTAAAAGCAACACTACAGCCTGGTATGTACTTTCTTTTCAGCCTTTTTGCAAGAATACTTTTACACAGCAGAAATTATACTTTATGTGCAATTATTCAGTATGTATCATGAAGGTATTTACTACTATTATTACAAATTGCTTAAATAAACATCACTTTAAATGACTATATGGTAGTCATCCTATCAACCTATTATCTATTATTGTATATACATTACATCTGTTCTCATTCTTCTTTTCCTCATACTAAGCTCTTTCTTTGCTTTAGATTAATTCTTTAAAAATTTTTTTAAATGTGACTACTAAATCAAAAGACACAGGTAATTTCAAATTCTTGACAAGGATGGCAAATTATTTTTCTAAGTGACAGGGCCAATTTATACTCAGAGAAGCAAAGTGAAAGTGCTTGACTGTCACATCCTTACCACACTTTATTTTTCTTTTCTTTTCTTTTTTTTTTTTTTTTTGTTACCAGAGATCAAAATTAGTACCAGAGATCAAAATTGGGATCTTGTGCTTGCCAAGCAGCAGGCGGTAGAACCACTGAGCTAATTCCCCGGCCCTTCCCTTTTATTTTTTATTTTTTATTTTTTTATTTTTGAGGCAGGATCTCATTTTGTAGTTCAGGCAAGTCTTAAACTCACTATGTAGCCCACGCTGGCCTCGAACTCATGGTGATCCACCTGCCTCAGCCTCCTAAGTGCTGGGATTACAGGTGTGTGCTGCCATGCCCAGTTTATTTTCCTTTTTGACAAAAAACAAACAAACAAAGAAACCCAAACTGTGCTATTTGAAAGAAACAAATGGTGTTGTGTTCATTTCTTTTTCCTCTGGTAAACAGCCAGGCTGAATATCTTTCCAAATATTTGTTTTTCATAACATTCTATTTTTTTTCTATAAACACTATAATCAGGGCAGCTAAATACAACCCTGAAAGTAGATGCTGAAGAGAGGTAATGTTACATTTGAGAAAATCCTCATTAAAGCTTTCCAAATCCTTGTTAAAAAATATTTTCTGCATTTCTTGAGACAGACAGAACACTGCTCACAACGTCTGGAAGGCTACTACGTTCAGATATTACAAAAACAAAAACATTTGGACTTTTAGCTTTTATCTGTCCTTTGGAAGAAAAATCAACTAAAAAACATCTGTACTTAGTGTTAAGCTTGATATATTTTATACAGTACAAATAATTGTCAAGCCTCTGGAATAAAAATTCACCAATTTCTATCAGTTAACCAATACGTTTAATTTAGATTATCTGCATTTAAATACAGTGAGCACCACTTTTTTTTTTTTTTTTTTTTTTTTTATTTACTTTACATGGTTGTCTCTTTAATGCTCAGCTAAATGGAAAAGAGCTCAAATTTACCTTTCATGTCTGCTTCTCCATAAACTTTACCTTTTTTTGTTTGGTACTGGGGATAGAACTTGGGACCTTGTACTTGCAAGGCAGGTGGTGGAAACATTGAGCTAAATCCCTGGCCCAACATTACCTTTTAATACTTACCAGATTTAGAAAATCTAATTAAACATTCATGTAACCATGGATTATTACTGTTGATGGCAAAAGCTCATTTGACAGACTGCAGCATTAACAGAAACTTTCCTGTGTCAAAAAGATGACAGTAGCCAGGCATGGTGGCACATGCCTGTAATCCCAGCACTTGGGAGGCTGAGGCAGGAGGATCACTGTAAGTTCAAGACCAGCCTGTGCTACACAGTGAGTTCCACAGCAGTCTGAACAACATAGTGAGACCCTGTCTCAAAAAAAGGCTATTTATGCTATTTTTGCTTTTTTTTTAGCCTCACTTAAATTCAGTAACAAATATTACCATGTTATAAATACTCATAAACAAAATTCAAAGCTGACTTTTGTAATCAAAGACAGTCTTTGTTTTCCAAAGAAAAGCTTGAAAATCATGCAGAATTGTTACAGGTAAACAATTTTATGATTTTCAAAATGGATTTGGTTATATATTATGTGCAATGTAACAAAGAAAAAGGACATTATGAGCCTTAGTGAAGGCTGAAATAAACTTTAAGAAACAAACATAGATCTGACAAAGATTAAACTGAATATGGTCACCAATGTGATTAAGGATTTAAAACTGAACTCAAGGCTGAGTGAGTTTAGGTGGAACCTTGCATACATGAAGCCCTAGATTTGACCCCCTTAGCACCACTCTCAAAACAACACAAATAAGAACTCAAGAAGCTTAAAAAAAAAAAATTACCTTTTCTAAAATATATTTCAAATGCTAACAGATGTGTGTCAGTGTTATAAGCAACAAGGTTCTTAAGAGGTATAAGGAGCTTGATGGCTTCTTCTAATGGATCTTCTACCTATTTTGAAGTGAAGAGAAAATTTTTCATATTTAAAAAAAGTTATTCAAGTCAAATCTCCCCTAAAATTTTATATTAACATGTATTTAAAGCAGTTTTGTTTTTTTATGTAACCAATCAACATTAAAATTACCTAAAAGCACAATTTTCAATTTAAAAATAGCTATATTTTTATAACTATAAAATCAAGATGACTTTATAAAAATTTAAAACTACTTAAAATTATTCCAGACTTTAGGAAATGATGCAGAAAGTACTGATGGTTCCTTATACACTATAGACAGCTAAAATAAAAAGACATATAATAGTGTCTCATAATTGGGGAAAAAGTAACCTTCCCTCCCTCTCTTACTTATTTTCAGTACCTGGCCTCAAACTCAGGACCTTGTGCTTGCAACGCACGCACAGTGCCACTGAGCTACCTCCCAGGCCCCAAAAGTAACATTTTAAATGATTATACCTGATTTACAGTAAATAAATCAGAAAGCTAACTATTTCCCCAAATTTGGTTCCAAAATATATATTGACACTTCAATTCCATATTTCATAAATAATGGTATTGCTGTTACAACAGATTACTGAAACTTTAGTGGCTTAAAACAATACAAGCTTATCTTGAAAGTCTCATATGAGACAATCTCAGTGGGCTTAAAATCAAGGTGTCAGCAGGACTTCATTCTGCTTTGGAAGATCTAGGGGAAAAGCCATTTCCTTGTCTTTTTCTTCTTTTAAAGGCTGCCTCCATTTCCTGGCTTATAGATTATCTCCTTCCATCTTGAAAGCCAGCAAAAACAGTTTAAGCCCTCAAATAACATCACCCTCCAAAGGTAATAAGGGAAAGAAAAAAATAGGAGAAAATGAAAAAATTGAAATAAAGTGTTTGTAAATGGGGAGGGGAGGAGGGGGTGAAGGGAGGGCAGGGACAAGGGGAAAAGATTTCCTTGTCTTTTTCTTCTTTTAAAGGCTGCCTCCATTTCCTGGCTTATAGATTATCTCCTTCCATCTTGAAAGCCAGCAAAAACAGTTTAAGCCCTCAAATAACATCACCCTCCAAAGGTAATAAGGGGAAGAAAAAAATAGGAGAAAATGAAAAAATTGAAATAAAGTGTTTGTAAATGGGGAGGGGAGGAGGGGGTGAAGGGAGGGCAGGGACAAGGGGAAAAAATGAGAACGAAGACCTGTCGTGTAAAGGTACAAGATCCCAATAATGAATGTAACTGTACTGTATACCTAAAATGTACCAATAAACTCAATAAAAAAAAAAATAACATTACCCTCACTTCTTCAACTTGCAAGGTCCAACCTGATCACACTGGGTCACATGGATAAACCAAGCTGATTCCTATTTTGAGATCAGCTAATTACAACCTTCCATTTCATCTGCTACCTTAATTCCCCTTTGCTGTGTAAGAACAGTGTTCATAGGTTTTGGGGATTAGAACCGACATTTTTTTTTTTTTTTGAGACAGGGTCTCACTATGTAGTTGAGACTGCCCTGCAGCTCACTATGTAGCCCAGGCTGGTCTCGAACTCACAGCGATCCTCCTGCCTCAGCCTCCTGAGTGCTGGGATTACAGACGTCACCACCACATCCGGCTAGAACAGACATCTTTTAATTAAAGGGCCATTACTCTGCCACAACACAATCCTATGTATAATTGATATTATTAAAAATCCATATATTGTCACTCAGAGTCAACAATGCCTATCATATAATGACCTTAAAATACTGCAAATGGCTTCTGACTTATAGGTTTAAATAAATTGTGTTTATAGTCAGAGCAGAACCAAACAGCATAAATGTTAGTAAAGAATAATGGTAAACTCATCTCACCTTTTCTAATTTTTCATGTATAAGTTTTCTTAAGACCACTGGATTCTTCTTCACCTTCTCATTTTTTCTTTTGATTTTTTGTTGGTGTTCCCTTTCTCCATGCTTTCTCTCTTCTTCTAATTTGGCCTTTTTCTGAGCTCTTCTTTGCTTGCTAAGAATTTTCTTCAACTCTCTGGCTGACAAGTTTTCTACAAATATTCAAATGAACAAAAGTTCTGAGTCAAAATGTTTGCAATTTTTCTTACATCCTTATACATACTATTAATATAGCTTTTTTGTGGGGGTAACTATAACAAAATTTTTAGAAAGTATATTCCTATGACTAGCATAAAACCTGGTACACAAAAGGCAACCAGTAAGTGCTGGCTGCATTAAAACTAACCAATTTTAGGGCCGGGGTTTAGCTCAGTGGTGTTGCTGCCTGCCTTGCAAGCGCAGAGACCAGAGTTTGGTCCCCAGTACCCCCTCCCCACCAAAAAAAGAGCCAACCAATATCAGTCCAGTTCTGTCGCCTACCCAATAAACAACTTCAGGCAAATTACATTATCCATCTCAGTCTCAAGTTGCAAGCTGTGTACAGAGGGGTAAATACGATGGACTCTACCAGAATATTTCAGAGGTAAGAGATAATGCATATAAGCACACTTGTGATCAATAAACATATAACTATTAGAGATGAAAGCTCAGAAATTTGTCTCCAAGTTATCATTTCTCAAATATTCCTAGATATTAACACTCTAGTTAATAAAAAGCTATACAAATATTCTCACTGGTATTATTTTCAGTAAGTACATACCAGAAGTTTTAGGAATATGTGTTTTTCCCCAAGGAGCTGAAAGCTACTTCTAGTTAAAATTTAAAGGTGTAGGGAAAGTGGGAAGGGTAGGGGAAAGGTAATAAGGGAAAAGAAAAAAATATGAGAAAATGGATATAAAGTGTTTGTAGATGGGGAGGGGTGGAGGGGGTGAAGGGAGGGCAGGGACAAGGGGAAAAAATGAGAACCAAGACCTGTCATGTAAAGGTACAAGATCCCAATGATGAATGTGACTGTGTTGTATCCCTAAAATGTACCAATAAACTCAATGAGGGAAAAAAATTTAAAGCGGGGGGAAACAACAACAATGACCCAGCCCATAGACATTTCTATTTTTCCTGAACTCATTTTATTAAATAAGAAAGAGCACAAGTCAGCCCTTTAGGGTGACTGAGAACATCAGCTACAGAATATCATCCTACTGACTTTTTTGACACATAAGTTATTTTAATATTGTCTTCATTTGACAATATATTTTTAAATGAATTTTAATTACACAAGCACATAGGCTACAGTGAAGTAATTTACTATATGTATACAGCATGTAATGATCAAATCAGGGTAGCAGCATTTCTACCTTCATAAACATTTGAGAATATATTTTTCTCTGTACTGCTTATGTTAATGATATTCTGAAATCTGATGTTCTTTACAGTTTTTTTAAACATGTTCCTCTTCAGTTACCTGAATTTATTTCTTGTTTTCTTTCATTGGTTAAAGGATTATCATATAATTTTAAATATATTTCAATTGCTGATCTGAAATAAAAGGCATGTCTTCTGAAAGTATCTTCTAATCTCAAAAGGTCAATATAGGCACGAAGGATCATCCTCACACAGTATGTATGGAAGTCAAATTGATCATTGGTTATCTCAAAAAATGCTTAAAAACAAAACCATAGAATTATCCCTTAGATTTTTGTCAATAACATCTACTTTTTGGAGAAAAATTCTAAAAAGTCCAAAAATCAATGTAAGCACCTACAATTTCACTTAGTTGTTTTCTCTTATTTTAATATTATAAAGGACACCAAGTTATTTGCATTCAACTTCAATTGTCTCTTTCTACAGTCCACTCCCTATGAATGTTTCTGTGATATTCAACTTCCATGCTACTAAGCCAAATGACCAGGTTATTTTCAAACCTAGAAAGCAGTACATATCTACATTTTAGTCTTAATAAAATACTTCTCCTCTGTAGTCACTAAAAACCAACAAGACAGAGTAAAGAGAACTCTGAGGACTATATGTAGATTAACATTAAACACCTACCAATCTGAACGATCTAGTCAAACCTGAGCCCCTAACAGGGAAAGACTTAGCATCTATAATCAATCCCCTTTTGGCAAGCCGAGGGCCTCGTAAGCAGACACTGAATGAGCACAGTATCTGCCAAGTCAGGAGACGAGCTACTTATCAGGCATGTGAACTTGAGTAAGTGTTTTAATTTCCTACAGCCTTAATTGTTTAAACTAAGCTAGCCCATTCATCAGGGTTATTAAAGGGTCAAATAAGAATACATTTGAAAGTTCAGTTTCAACTGTAAACTATTATACAAAAAGAACATACAGTTTCCTCTAACTCGAAAAAACTGTACTGATCTATATTTATTCCATTTTACAAAAAAAAATTTTTTTGTTGTTTTTAAAGTTCCTGCCTGTCCAAAAAGTCAGACAGGCTTTTGTTTTTTGGCAGTTAGTAGTACTGGGGATTGAGCCCAGGGCCTTTTACACTGAGCTAAATAAGGTCCTGCTATGTATTAAGTTGCCCAGGCTGGGCTCAAAAGTGTTATCCTTCTGCCTCAGCCTCCCAGAGTGTTGTGATCACAGACAGGTGTGCATCACAATACTCAGCTCAGAAGTTCTTCATATGAAGTCTGTGTAAACAAGGATAACTTCTCCAAGAACTCAAAAGCATTTATCTAATTTCCAGAGGCCCTTGGCCCCCAAAAGTTAAGAACTAATCCCTTCCATGGAAAACTAACTCATAGCCCCACCAAACAGTTTTATAGTATCATTTGTATCCCCTATATGCATTTCTATCTTTGATTCTTTTCTCCTGCTTTAGCTTCTCCAAAGTCAAAGAGAAAAATGAATGATTCACTGTTCCAACATAGATAAAGCCTTTCTACTACGTCATGCTGCCTCTGTCCTAGAGGGTATAGTAATTGGCTGCACAGGACATATTTGTAATTGTCCACAGTCACTTGCTAATCTTAGTCAATTTGGTAATTGGAAACATGCTTTACAAAGAATTACATTAAGTACCTGAGAATTCTAAGATGAGAATAACAGAAGTACAGTGTGGAGGGCAAGAAAAATGAACACTTCACATCAGTTTATACTTATTACTAAAAAAGCATGCTTAGCTGGGCGTGGTGGCTCACACCTGCAATCCCAGCACTGGGGAGACTGAGGCAGGAGGATTGCTGTGAGTTTGAGACCAGCCTGGGCTACCTAGTGAGTTCCAGGTCAGTTTCAATATATAGTGAGACCCTGTCGCAAAAAACAAACAAACAAACAAAAGCTTGCTTTAATATTATATTTGAAAACTACATTTTTCCCACCAATAAGACAAATTCATAAGTAATATTTAAGTTTTATTTTTTAAAAATCAAAGGATTACTATTCATAAAGTTGTTAATGGTTTTCCTTAAATTCAAGTTCTTTGCATTCAACTTCAAAAATCAAAGGATTCTCCTTAATACATATCAAGTTATATCTAAAATTTCAATATAATTGACTAAGGAAAGATGGCAGTTCTAAAAATCATGGAACACTTAATAAGGTGAAAACATCTAAGAGATTATGGGACTTTTCAAGATGAGAAATGTGTAAAAAGGGAGCCATACGGAATCACAATTTTTTTTTTTTTTTTTTGAGACAGGGTCTTACTATGTAGTTGAGACTGACCTGGAGCTCACTATGCAGCCCAGGCTGGTCTCGAACTTGCAGCAATCCTTCTACCTCAGCCTCCCGAGTTCTGGGATTACAGGCATGCACCACCACGCCTGGCTTGGAACCACAAATATTTAAACTGCCTCTTTATCAGTAACAGTGCATAGCCTCTCTACAGTTAGTTTCTTCCTTAAACAAGGTAACCAATTTATCCCAGGTGAGAAGAAGTTCTCCCAATTTTTCAATTGAAAACACTATGTCTTGATACTGTTCAGCCATGGGAAAACCTGGATGGTTAATCACTCTGAAATAATAGTAGGGAGAAAAATACGGCTAAATTAAATCAGAAAAAGTAGGTAAGAAACTACAGACTAATAATTTTGCTTTGGAAGAAATAGTGCATTGCAGAATACAACATAAACAACTAAATAATCTTGAGCTAATTTTCTTCTTCAAACTTTGGAATAATTACAGACATAGAGGCAGCTGCAAAAGTTAGCATATAGAGGTCCAGTATCCCCTTTCCTCCAAAGCTTATAGCTTAAGAGTACACTGATGTAATGAGTGAATAGTGTTCTATGTGATTTTATCATGTGTAGACTTCTATAAAAACTATCACAATCAGTAACTATTCCATCACCATGAAGCTCTCTTTCTGTACTATTCTGAGTTAATTTTTTTTAGTCTCCAAAACTGTAAAACACAAAAATATGCTACATAAAACAAACAGATAAAGTCAGTTTCCATGCAGTTTTGAGGCAAACACCAAAGGCATAAGGACACCTGTCAACTCACTAGGAAAGCTAGGTATCTAAATCATAACAGACAGCAAATATTAACATACACTTCACGGCCTTAAATCTTCACCCCTCATTTTAAACACTAGTGTGTACACATTCCCTCCTTCCTTCCCTCCCTCTTTTTCTCTCCCACTCTCATATATCATTTGTATCTCTATATAATATACACATATAAATAAGATGAAGAGGGAAGAGTTTGTTGAAGCTGTCAAAATTAGGCTTGAATCAAATTAAGGCAAATCATCAAAGAACTTAGCACACTTTTTGGGGGGGGCAGGGATTTGGCTCAGTGGTTCTGCCACCTGCGTTGCAAGTACAAGGGTCCAAGTTCAAACCGCAGTAGCCCCCCCCCAAAAAAAGAATTTAAAAAAGCCATTCACACAGGACTGTAATTTTCTTTAGGAATTCCATCCTATCCCCGTTTTCTGCCCATCACTTCTCAGAATTTCAGAATTCCTGGAAGAGGCTCTTAAATGCTTACATACAGAGAAGCAACAAAAACCTCTGGCTTAAAAATAATAACCAAGTTGGGGATTTATCTCAGTGGTTCTGCCGCCTGCCGTGCAAGTGCAAGGACCCGAGTTCAATCCCCAGTACTACTACTACTACTACTACTACTACTACTAATAATAATAATAATAATAACCAGATCAGCCAGGCTTGGTGGTGCACACCTATAATCCCAGCACTTGGGAATCTGAAGCAGGAGGATGGCTGAGACTTCAGGACCAACCTGGGCTACATAATGAGGTCAAGGTGAGCCTAAACTACTAGTGAGGCCCTGTCTCAAAAAACAGAAAAACAACTAGCGGAATAAGCAACTTTATTTTTTATAGAAAATCCGTCACTACAAACCACACATCAATTTGATAGTGATCAGATTATCAAAATCCTAGATTTCTATATGCCATAGTTCAAATGTTGCAAATGTAAAATAATGAGAACTCAATCATTTAAAAAGGAAAAGTTTGATTCTTGAAAGAGTTTAAAATATTCTGAACACGGGTATGCAGACAATAGTTCAAAGAAAATGTTTGTTTTTAATAAAACTCAAGTTTCAAATATCAGACTGGGTTGGACTACATAATCTTCACAGATAATCTTAAAATTCAAAGGGGTAAGACAAAAACAGAAAAGGTACCATACTGGACCATTCTGGAATTCTAATATTTTAAATCTAATTATTAAGAGCTCATGACAACATGTATCACAGTTGAAGCTGACCTTAATGAAAGAATTCTTGAATGAATTCTTGAAGGCAAAAGAAATATCCTTTATTTGAATGTGTTTCTCAATTTTTTTTCCAGTACCAGGGATCAAACTCAGGACATTGTGCTTGGAAGGCAGACACAGTGCCACTGAGCTACATCACTAGCCCATTCTCAGTTCTACTTAGATTATTCTCTTTTTTTGAGACAGGGTCTCACTATGTAGTTCGGACTGCCCTGGAATTCAAATTCACACCAGGCTGGACTCAAACTCATAGCAATCCTCCTGCCTCAGCCTCCCAAGTGCTGGGATTATAGGGCTGTGCCACCACATCCAGCTTCTCAATTCTACTTACAAGGTAAACTACAAAGTTCATTTTTTAAAAGGTGTTTGCTGCCTTTTTAACATATTTAAAAGCAAGTGTAAAGCAACTCATGCAGATACTTACTAGAATAAATCCTTCAATTTTGTAATTATTCCTAAATCTTTCCAACGACGTAATTTTTAGATTATCATAGTTTTGGAAATTAATTTAAGAAACATTAAGCATTCCATCAATAAATATTTATTAATCTCATTTGTATAAACACGTGTTTCTACATATAACTACATATGTAATATATATGTTAATCATAAGAGTAAAAATCTTACTTTTAGTATGGAACAGTCTTTTTGGGGGGGATCAAACTTGGGTCCTTGTGCTTGTGAGGTAGGTGGCAGAACATGGAATATTCTTTATAAAAAGACTAGCTATAAGAGGGGACTCTTATTTTCTGTTTCTAGTTCTTCCTATACTCAAATGCCAGTAGCAAACATTGAGTTAAGTTAAAATTTAAAGCAATAATTACATAACAAGTCCAAATGGTGATTTCTGCCATATTTTAATCTCTGTAACTAATGATTTCTTATAACTTTTTTCTTCAAAAATGCTTTCTACCAATTAAGTTATTTCTTGAACTAGAACTAGCTTATCTGGCGTAGAATTTTATTTCATGCCACATAGCCAAAGTCATTTAGACTTAAGAGAAAGCATCATCTAAGTGAAATTTGCTAAGTAGAAGGTCTACTTACTCTACTAATTCTCAAAAAAATAGAATAAAGCAATATAGAGGCATTAATTTAGAAGAAATGGAGTCTAAATTCAAGTTCACAACTCTAATAATCATAAAGATATTCAAATTTCACTTAAATAGAAATTTTTGCGAGCAGTGCATGATGGCACATACCTGTAGTCCCAGCATTCACCAGACTGAGCCAGGAAGATCTGTGAGTTTGAGAATATATACTGTACTGCAGTAATTTTTGTATTTACATTTGTATGATGTGACATAATAGATGTGAATGTTAATCGCTGCTTGAATATGTGAAAAATTATAATGGTGCATAAGATCCTAATGATATAACTGGCAATGTGAAGTAGGAAGAAAAGGGCTAAAGGTGCAGAGGAAATGGGAAGGATAGGGCAAAGGTAATAAGGGGAAAAGGAAACAAATGAAAAAATGGAAATAAAGTATTTTTAAATAGGGAAGGGAGGAGGGGGTGAAGAGAGGGTAGGAATAAGGGGAAAAAATGAGAACCAAGACCTGTCATGTAAAGGTACAAGATCCCAATGATGAATGTAACTGTACTGTATAACGAAAATGTACCAATAAACTCAGTGAGAAAAAAATCATATTTTAATAAATATTTCTTTTCTTCTTAAACATATTTTAAATTATATGATAAAACTATCCTTTTGAAAACTGGGGTTATGTCTTCTGATCTACATTTGGGAGCTAATTGCCAACGTGAGATCTTAATAAAAGTATTATTACATAAATCATGAACAATGAAAATAAATAAATAAAGTTGTTTAACTATAAAAAAGCCACCAAAAATGCAAATAAAATATATCTAAACACCTATAATTGTCATACCAGGTATATGTTTTAAAAACAATTTTGGTGTCTACTTACAGTCTTCCTAAAATTACTACCTATAAATGCCTAGCTACTGCTTCATTCAGAAAACACTTTATCTTTCACTGAGATCATCTTGGTAATAAAAATGTATCTTTCCTTAATAACAAGCAGAATATTTTTAAAGTGATGGTCACCCAGGCAGTGTCAAAACAAGTTAGCAATCTACAGTTTTATAAAAAAAAATAAGAGTCTGATGTAAACTAGGAATTCTTAGCCATTTTTCATAAGAGTCAAGACCTTACATTTCTCAAGGAGAAGATGAAAAAAGATTTTCCCTAAAGATATAGCTATAGAGGTTTCAAAGAGCAGGAAGGAAAAAAAGAAAAAGTTTATTCCTATGAAGGTTCTAAAAGTATTATCCTACTTTCAGCTCCCTTCAAAAACCACTCCCTAAGACACAGCATTCTCTAGATGATCTCAGAAGTTTCATATGGGAAGAAGGCCAAAGTAACTGCCATGTTGCAGACATTGGGCTCACCTGACTGTGATGCCTGTGGTTTTACACTGCATCAGCAGGGGAAGAGTGGTGCCAAGTGCCCCCACAACTGAGGGCAGGTGAGGACTGCCTGAGAGGTAAATTTGCAGCTCTTTTCCTTCTGTGGTCCATGTGAAAGGAGTACTTCAGAGATGACAAAGGACAGGAAAAAATATTCACGCAGAGGAAGTCTCCTCTCTAAGGCATATCACACACAATTCTAAAAGCAAGTAATAATATTTGCCTGCAAACTGGCCATACATTGCTACACAAAATAATAAACGTAAGAAGAAACTTCCTGGGAAGACAACTGGAGAGAGGCTGACTGTGGACCAAATCCTGACATTTTAAATGAGGGGAAAGAGGTTGCCATCAGCTGTGTGTTCTCCTAGGCTAGTGATGAAAATCAAATAATAGCTCCACCAGGGAACAGAAACTTTGACTTCATGTTAATAATAGTAATAGTGGTTTAATAAATTAACGTTTTTTCCTTCTTTCTTCAATTAAAAATATATAGGCGTGTAAAAAGCATTAACTATTCCAGGATCAAAAAAGAACTATATGCTCACAACTTCTGAATGTTTGGTGTATTACAAATAGATATGCGTTTTTTTTCAAAATGAAGCTGTCAACGTAGTTACAAGAAGCAGATGATCCCGTGTAGAAATATACCTGCTTTTCTTGCCACCTTATAGGATAAAAATGAAGTCAAAACCCTAACAACCTACCCTTTCTACATCATGGCACTTTTTCAAGGCATCTCCGTATCTCCCAAGTCGCCGATGAGCTGAAATGCAGTCCATCTGAAACCACATACAATGCATTTCATTTAGGTTTTCCATGGCAGACACTCCCTCCTAAAATGTAAGCATTTGTAACTATAATGATCAAACAATAAAACATCCTAAAACCTAAAAGCTATGGCTACAAGTATTATGACAATCAACAATTAACAAATATATTAACAGGTGAAGGGAGGGCAGGGGTATGGGGAAAAAATAAGAACCAAAACATATCATGTAAAGGTACAAGATCCCAATGATAAATGTAACTGTATTGTTTGCTTTAAATGTACTAATAAACTTAATGGGGGGAAAAATATATATATATATATTAACATGTTTCCCCAGGGTTCCTAATGTTTGAAAATTACAGGTTTTGTGGTTGTTTTAAAAATTTTTTATTAGTACATGTTTGTGATTTTATACTTTACATAGAAGAGACTCCAGATTACTAAAGCTTAGTTTCTAAAAATTCACCCAGGCATGGTGGACACACCTGTAGTCCCAGTACTTGGGAAGCTGATGCAGGAGGATTGCCATTGAGTTCAAGGCCAGCCTGGGCTATATATAGTAAGTACAAGTCTGAACTACATAGTGAGACCTTGTCTCAAAAATAAATTAAATAGATAATCAATCAATAAAAATTCAAAGTTTACTAACTACTTTAACAATAATCTTTGAAACATTGCCTGTCTTCTGCAATTCTTTTTTTTTTTTTTTTTTTTTTTTTTTTTTAAGCAGAGTAACACTGTCACCAAATTGCCTAGGCTGGGCTTGAACTTGTGACCTTCCTGCCTTAGCCTCCCAGATTACTGGGATTACTGGCACATAGCATCATACTTGGCTAATTATTGCAATTCTAAAAAACCTCAAAAGCTGAACTAATTGCAATGTAATCTTTTTTTTGGTGGGGAGAAGGTTCCAGGGATCAAACTCAGGACCTTGTGCTTGTGAGGCAGGCACAGAGCCACTGAGCTAAATCTCAGGCTCTCTTCTGCAATTTTTTTCTTCTCTTCTTCCTCCCCTTCCTTTTTTTTTTTCCTTTTCTATTTAACCTTTCCTTGATGACTCAGGGTTGGCACTATAGATAGCCAACTTTGTGTTTGATCTCTTGCTAATAATTCCAACTGCATTTTTGAGTCCCCCAGTCTCCTTCCTCCTAATTAGGCTATCCGTTGTCACTTTCTCTTTGCCTACATGTCTGGTTCTAACAGCATCTCCTGTTTCATCACATCTCTTATTTTCCTATCTCTCAGCTGCAGTGTGCTAAAAAATAATAATAATAACTGAACTTGTTATATTTATATAAGTCAGGTGTAGTGGCACATCTTATAATCCCAGCTACTAGGAGGAGACTAAGGCAGGAAAATCATAAATAGCAGGAGGAACTGAGAATAACCCGAGTAAATTACCAAGACCATCTCAAAGCAAAACCTAAAAAGGGCTGAGGCTGTAGCTCAGTGGTTGAGTGTCCCTGAGTTTGATCCACAAGAAAAGAAAAAATAATTTTTCTTATTAATTCAGACTTGATGATAATTCTGAGAAGAGTTTAAGACATGAAGTACTAAATTTCAGTGCAGTAGCACTCGAGTTTTGTCACACTTCAGAAAAGTTCCTCAGAAAAAGATTTAAAACATTAGGAATAGGCAATGACTTCATGAACAAAACCGAGACCACACAAGAAATACTACAAAGAATCAACAACTGGGAACTCATCTTATTAAAAAGCTTTTGCACAGCAAGAGAAATCACCAACAGAGTGAAGAGACAACCCACAGAGTGGGAAAAACATTTTGCCAGCTATTCAGATAAAGGACTATTATCTAGAATATATGAAGAACTCAAACAAACAAACAAACCCAAATTTAAAGACCCAATGCAGAAAAAAGCATCTGAAATAAAAAATCACTTCTCAGATGAAGAATTAGAAACAGCAAATAAATATATGAAAACAGTGTTCAACACCATCGGTCAATTAAGAGATGCAAATGAAAACAACACTGAGATTCTACCTCACTCCAGAAAGAATGGCTGCTATCAAGAATTTAACCAAGAACAAATGTTGGAAGGAGTGTGGGGAAAAGAACCCTTCTCCACTGCTTGTGGGAGTGTAGACTGGTGCAATCACTATGGAAGTCAGTGTGGAAACTTCTCCAAGAACTAATAGTAGAGGTTCCTTTTGACCCTGCTGTACTTCTTCTTGGTATCCTCCCAAAAGTATTAAAAACATCATATCACAGCGAAATATGCACACCCATGTTTATAGCAGTACAGTTTATAACAGCTAAATCTTGGAAACAGTCCAAATGCCCATCAACTGATGAGTGGATAAAGGTGGTTTTTTTGTACTCTGGAGTGCTACTCTGCCATAAAAGGATGAGCTTGAGAAATTTTCAGCTAAATGGATGGACCCCGAGACCATATTCTTAAGCGAAATAAATCAGATACGTATGTTTAAATATCGCATTGCTTCTCTGTGAGAAACTGAATGTGGAAATAAAGACTGAGACGTATAATTGATGTTGGGAAATGGGAAGAAAGTGTTCAAATGGTAAGGGGAACAGGGAGGAGGAAAGGAAAGGAAGGAAGTGACAAGAAAAAAGTGAAAATACAAGAAAAAAAATGGAGACAAGCTTTTCTACATAGGGAGGGGTGGGGGCTTAAGGGGGAACGGGATAAAATGTATTAAAAAAAGAAAATTAAAAAATATTTGTATGACCCCAGGATAGATGGCACAGGTATATTTATAAAAAATAATTTTATCAGTATTAAGTTCTTTTGCTTCCATTTTGTGTTATCAGTTCAATTCTTAGAAATCACCCAAAGTCTAAAAACTAATTATGTCTGGATGAATGGAACTACAGGTACATTTTATTTCTTCTTTATGGCTGTGTGTATTTTTCAAATTTTGATGACTATGTCTTTATATGAAATAATTTATTTCAAAAAGTTGTGGTTTTTTTGTTTTGGTTTTTTGTTTTTGTTTTTGTTTTGTTTTTTGCTACCAGGGATTGAACTTGGGTCTTTGCTCAAAAAGTTGTTTTTAATTTCAGTTTTTTTGTTTTGTTTTTTTCTGAGACAGGGTCTCACTATGCAGCTCAGGCTTGCCTCAAATTTGTGGTGATCCTCCTGCCTCAGCCTCCCAAGTGCTGGGATTACAGGTGTGTGTTACCACACCCAGCTCAAAAGGTTTACTAAAAAGAACTGTCAAATCTGTATTAGCAACCTTCTATATATAATTCTAAACTGTGAAAAATCTGTGAAAGGAAATATGAATACTTCACTCATATTAGTAAGCATGATTATTAAGCTGATACTGTTGTGCCCAAGTCACGAAGTCCCCAAAGACCACCAAGGAGTCATGTCCAATGCAATTGCAAGAGGAGTTTATTGTAAGCTCGAGCCTGGACTCTCAGGTGTCACCGTCACAGCGGCTTCAGACCGAGAGCCCAGATCCAATTTTGAACCAAGTTTATATAGGATTTTTCTGTTGCTATTTTTAGTTTTCCCTTATCATCCAGGGGCATCGGGAGGGCACAGTGGAACGTGACCTAATGCTTACATTTGCAAAATTATCATGGGGTGCTGGGAGGGTACGTATTGGAAAGTTACCTAAGGCCTTCATTAGAGAATTCCTCTTTTCAGTAGACAATTAATTCCTCTTTTCATCAAAGAATTAATTCCTCTTTTCATCAAAGAATTAATTCCTCTTTTCATTAGGTTATCTGATTTTTTTGCTAAGATATATGACTATCTATGTCCACTATAATTACTTCCTATATCAGCTACAACTAAATTAATTCCTATATTAATTGAATTACATAAAAAGAAGCTTGTCTTAAAAAGAGAAACAGAAGCAGGGTGGAGATGCCCTAAAAGAGGAACCGAAGCATAGAATGGAAACTACCATATATAATGGAATTGTTCAGGAGCACAGAGAAACTGAAATTGCTGCAATTGTCAGAGGAACTGCCACATAGAATGGAATTTTTCAGAAAGGAACTTTTGCATTTACTCTATTCTGAGTAAGGGACATGGAGCCCACCATGACCTGGAAACTTGGTCCTCACAATACCAAGAGCCAGAAGCAATGTCCTTCCCCTCGTCGCTATATTATCTACCACACATTATTAATTAACCTGGCCAAAGAGCCAGTATGGTTAAAGTGAACAAGTTTGCCATACAGTATGCGACTGGAGATGATTATGATGTATAAACTGTGGCACAGGTTTTGATGACCACTCTCTATAACCCAATTCCTTTCAAACAACTTTCTCATGTGTCTGCCTCTGACACAGCCTAGTTGTATGCTGTTTTTAGTCACTAAGTTTCCAAGGCTGGGCTCAAACTTCCAATCCTCCGCCTCAGCCTCCCAGGGCATTGAGATTATAGGTAGTATGCCATCATGCCCAACTGTGTTTGTTTGTTTAAAGCTGGACATGATGGCATACTACCTTATTAAGTTAAATAAATCTAACTTAATAAGCCATGCACTGTATATACTTTTTTTTTTTTTTTTTTTACCAGGAATCAAACTCAGGATGCAAGGCAGGCAGAGGCATCACTGAGCTAAACCCCCAGCTCTACGCTCATTTGTGTGTGGGGGGGGTAGTTTTCAGACAGGGTCTCACTATGTAGTTGAGACTGACCTGGAACTCACACTGTAGCCCAGGCTGGTCTCGAACTCACAACGATCCTCCTAGCTCAGCCTCCCAAGTGCTGGGATTATAGGTGTGCGCCACCATGCCTGGCTTCTGCACTCATTTTTAACTGTACTTTATTTCTAATCCCTACCTAGGCCTTCCAGTTAGTACTGTAAAAACCTAAGTGCTTTATTGTTTATTTATTATACTCTTTTTTTCTCATTGAGTTTATTAGTACATTTTAGGTGTACAGTACAGTTACATTCATCATTGGGATCTTGTACCTTTACATGACAGGTCCTGGTTCTCATTTTTTCCCCATACCCCTGCTTTCCCTTCAATTATACTCACTTTTAATCTTCATAAATGTGATAGAAAGGACATTGGGAGAGTTTGAACCCTAACAACACTCTTTACAATGTGACCAAAATGTTTTGGTGGCCTCATCTGAGATTCAAATATCCTGCTGTAAAATATCAGAGAGACACCTAAGTGCTACATAAATATAAAGAGCACTACTATTTCTCTAATGTAATTTCTTCTCTTAAAACCCATCATTCTCATTCATCTACTCTCCCAACATAACCTATGCTGTTTTGAATCTGCTACTGATCCAGTGGCATCTGAGTTTTAGAAACTCTAGTTATTACAGTTTCTGCTAATATTACACGATTCTGTTCAGGTTTAACACAAAGAACAAGGGTTTTCAATTCAAATATGCAGAATCCTGGCTCCAGAAGAATAATTTGATCTGAAGCCTGCATGGTACTTGAACCTTCAAACGTTTTCTTAACTATAATATGGGGAGAAAGAGATCATGTATATGAAGTACTTAGCTCAGTACTTAAAATGTTAAATCTACTTTCCTCTTGTAAGTAATAAATTACTAACATTACTGTAAACACCAAATGGTAGGCTAGCTCATATGAGAAAGTCCTTCTTTAAGAAACAAAGAATAAATATTCTATAGGTATGGTGTATAAATTGAGAGTACATGAGAACACAAGTATGAATGTATGTCAAAATCACTTGTCATACCTAGTCAAGCCAGACTTTAAATTCAGCAATTTGATGGATACAACACTACCTAATTGTTTTAATTCGCATCTTGCTGATTAGTAGTAAAGCTATTCTTTTTTTGCCATTCCATTTTCCACTTTTGTGAACTAATTATTCATATCTTTTGGCCATTTTTGTGGTCTTTTCTTTTTTACTGCATTTTTACTCCCATATGTTTATGTTTCTAAGACATTATTTTTCCAGGTAGTTAAAATTTTCATAGTAGTAGGTCAAGATAATTCTGTGGCTTCTAAAATTATAAGGGATTTCTCTAAACAATGAGGCATACCTAGAATCTACGTAACCTTTAAGGTGGTGAGAGCTGGGGATTTAGCTCAGTTGCACTGCACCTGACTCCATCCCCAGTACACACACACTAAAAACCCACAAAAAATTTAAAATGGTGATTTTTTGCTACATCATCAATATCTTAGCATCATAGGACATAGCAGGAACTTACTTTCATGTTAAAAACTTACTGGCAAACTTTAGCACTAATGCCCTACACTTTGAACATAATGTGCATTTTTTAAGATATGTTACTTAAAGGTCGGGCGTGGTAGTGCACGCCTGTAATCCAGCACTAGGGAGGCTGAGGCAGGAGGATTGCTTTGAGTTCAAGACCAGCCTGGGCTACACAGTGAGTTCCAGAGCATTCTGAACTACATAGTGAGACCCTGTCTCAAAAAAAAAAAAAAAAAAAAAAAAAAAAAAAAAAAAAAAAACCCAAAGAAAAAAAAAGATGTTACTTATTCCAAAGCATCTTCATTAAAACTTGGAAATCAAACTTATAAACATGGTTCCCTCATTACTCCTCAATATCACTTTTAATGTGTACTGCATAATTATTTCAGTGAATTCTTTAGAGCTCTTTCTACATTGTTTATCATCACAGGTTGAAAATATCTTTTCCAAGTCTCTTCTCACTTTGCTTATAGTTATTTTGTTATATGTAAATATAAATTTTAATATAGTCAAGTACTTTAATTCAGTCATACTTTATGCTCTTAGTATCTTTTTTTTTTTTTTAAACCGGAGATCAAACTCAAGATCCTTTGCTTGCAAGGCAGGCAGTGGCACCACTGGGCTAAATCCTGGCCATGCTCTTAGTATTTTAAGAAGTGCCACAGGGTGGGTGGATTTGAACAGTGCATATGGTATGGATGTACGAAAAATTTACAGTGAGCCCTATTAATATGTATAATTATTACTGTTTATTTTTAAAATGGAGGAAGGTGGAATAGCAGGAGGAGGAGGAGGAAGATGAGTAGAGGAGGAAGGAGGCAGCATGCTTTCTCTCTTATTACATTTTCCTTAGCCTAGACTCCTGTTTTCTTCCAAAAGTCTGAATGGTTTGCTTTCAATATATAGATCTTAAAACCACCTGGAATTGATTTGTGTGCCATGAAAGACAGGGATGCCATTTAATTTTTTTTTCAACCCTAACCCTAACCCTAAGTAACTAAATGTCCCAGCTTTATAGTTTTATCTTAAGTTTTAAAAGTACTTCTGGCTATACACCAAGTTTCCAAGCATATGTGATTCTGTTTCTGAGAGCTTTGTATTCAATTAGTCTATACCTATACTTTTAACCATAAGCATGCACTACTTTCATAATATAGCAAAAAGTCTATGTTAAGAACGGCCAAAGAAGGAAAGGAAAGAAATGGATATTTAGCTCAACAATATCAGAGAATTTAATTCCAGACAGGGAGGAGAAAAGGAAGACGAGGGGAAAGTAAAAATAATTGAGGGGGAAGTAAAAAGAATTAAGATGTGTCACGTACATAATCCCACAATGAATGTAGTTGTTATGTAGTACAAATTTAAAATTTTTAAAAAGAATTTAATTGCAGGGACTGGGGATTTAGCTCAGGGGAGCTGCTGCCTGCCTCGCAAGTGCAAGGTCCCAAGTTCAATCCCCAGTACCACACACACACACACATACACACACACAAATTGCAGAATATCAGACTAGTAGCGCAAAGAAATTATTCTACATCCAGTACTAACATTCCACAAATTCACAAATTCCAGATTTGCACTGCCAAAAAACAGCTATTTTTAGCTCTACACTTTAATGTGCCTCTCTCTTAAGGGTCTTTTAAATTTCCTAATAAACCTCTTTACGCCTTTAAAAAAAAGAAATTACTTATACAAAGAAAGGATCTAAACAGCTCTGAAGTAAGACACTGTAATAGAGAATTAAAAAGAAGTCACAAATCACTAGAGAAACAAAGAATTTGGGATACACCCAATTTTATACGTAACAATTTTACACATAAAAACGGCATATTGTTCAAACTTTTAACAAAATATTTTTGTTCCTTCATTTTAATCATGCCTTGCAAGAAATACATAGAGGAACATATACAACCACAGTAAGAAACTATACTTAGCTATGGATAAATGACATTAAAAATGAATTGTTATGAACTTCAGTGGTAACCTCACAATTTTACTAAGTCAAGTAATTACATACTTGTGCATGCTATCTCTTACCCTTGTGAACTTGGAGCATTTTCTCTGCTTCTTTTATCATATTTGCTCAAAGCATATATTTTGCACATTTAGAACTGATTTAATCTATCAGCTGTGTCCAAAGATTGCTTCATCCATCCACTTGCAGCTTCTTTGCGATTACCCATATGCTTCAAGAGATGAAAGCGTTAAAGAAATTACAGTTATATATGATCAAGAATATAAGTGTACTATAAGTGGAAAAAGTTTATAAAGACACGTTAGAAATTTGACAACACGGGCTGGGGATTTAGCTCAGTGGTACTATGCCTGCCGCACAAGCACAAGGTCCTGAGTTTGATTCCCAGTATGACAAAAACAAAGAAACAAGGGCCGGGTATTTAGCTCTGCGGTTCGGTGGCCTGCCTTGTAAGCACAAGGACCCGAGTTCGATCCCCGATACAAAAAACAAAAACAAAAACAAAACAAAACAAACAAACAAACAAAAAAGAAATTTGACAGCATGGCAAATTTATCTAGAAATCTAGATAATTACATTTTACATATACCAAGAACTAAACCAAGTGAATAACATTGATTATATACATATGTAGCACAAAGCTCCATAGAATGGAACATTTAAAAAAAATTATCAGGGTGTCTGAGAAGTTAGAAACAATTCCAAGACTTCTTAAATAGCTGAATTCCTCAAAGTCAAAAACATGATTAAAATTTTCCTTGTAAATTTGTTTCATGTAAAACAATTCCATTAGAGTTGGAGTACTCGCAATTGCAGCATTAATATAATCCAAAGCCAAAAAATATTGTTCATGTTTACCAAAGTTCTGTGTCAGGAAATACTGAACCCAGAGTACAGTTGTCAGGGGTACCTTCTCCCCATTTTCTGCAATCAAACAAATATTAAATTATTATAAGGAAGAATTCTAAGTAAAGCAGGCCACATACTTTCTCTTAACTCATAATAAAATTCATAGTTGTTATAATAAAGAGTAAAAACTCAGCAAAAATTACCAAATGCAACAGAAAGAGCTATGATTTCATGTTCTAAAGTTCAAATAGTGGCAGCCAAGCAGAGTAAACAAAATTCTAGCTCGACAGGCTTCTAGTCCCAACCTCCCTTCAAAGAAACAGCACTGAGGAAAGATATAATCCAATCTAAATCTATGAATTCTCAGGCTAAAAGCAAAATGATATTCCAGGAAAAGTCAAAGAAGGAAACCTGGAGAAGAGACTACCACTGCCAAGACTTCAGCAGAGATTAGAACTGCCAACCTGCCAGAGTACAGCATTTACTAGACCTCAGTGCTGAACAGGAGAAATCCAATGTGTTGAAGAGGACACAACCTTGACAAGATAGAACTATCCCCACCACATATCAAAAATCTGAGTGAACGCTGCCTAAGTCTAACAAAAGGAGCCATATATATATAAAACAGCTGAGCCTTATTCTACTCCCCATCCTGAACCAGCAAGCTAAGAGCAGCTAAAGTAGCAAGCTGTTTTCAAAACAGATTTCAGAAGGGAACACGTACAAATTTACAAGGAAGGTGCACAGAATGAATTTACCCATGATATCAAAACACATCTCCTAGTGTAGCTAACTAACCAAATGACAACATAATACAAACACACTGAAAACAATTAAGATATGTTCATGTACATGTACCAACACCTCATGAGGAATTATGAACTTAAAACATATACTACTAATAAAAAAATTTTAAATCATTTACTTGTCTTTGCAAAACAGTAAAACCCTTATAATTTAAAAAAAGGCAAAAGTCAAGCATTTATACTGTACCTCTTACATAAACTGTGTTTCTGGAAACCAAATATTTGGTGAGAGAAAAATAAAGTAGAGCACCTGCCTACCATGCACATGGAAGTCCCTGGGTTCAATTCCCAGCATTGCAGCACCAAAACAAAGCAGAACACAAACAAGAAACCACCTAAACAGCTAATAAATGTAGAAAACATAGTAAGAATGAAATAAGGAATTTAGGTAGTGATCCTCAATAACTGCTAAAATCCTCAGTCCAGAGGTCCGTGAGAGTTGTTTTCATAGGCACATCTTGCTGACAAGGAATGCTGATCAATCTTAACATAAAAAAGAGAAATAACCAGAATGCCTCCGACTTCCTGGTATGACACAACCTCAAGCACACACACTACCTTGACGTATTCGAACAGAACCTGAATTCAATCAAGCCTGTAAATTAACTATCCATACTACAGGCAATATGAATGACAACAAAATATATTAAGTTAATAACATGAGAATGCCATCGGCCAAACCTAGAAGAAGAGATAGACTATGATAAAAGGACCTTTCAACAAAAGACATTTTTTAAAAGGGAAGGGAAATTACTGTCACACACACACATCTCTTTTTTGGGGGAGTACCAGGGATTGAACTCAGAACCTTGTGCTTTCGAGGCAGGTGGCAGAGCCATTGAGCTAAATCTCTGGCCCTACTGCTGTATATTAAAAAACATAAAAACATAATAACTGAATGCAAAACATGCACCTTAAATGGATCTACATATAAGTAATCCAATTATACAAAGACTTCTGGATAATGGAGGACATGTGAATGTGAACTGAATATTAAATATTATAGTATGAGGTTAATTTTGTGTATTTTAAGCAGAGATGATTACTAAGGCATTTACAGGTGAAACCGTATGTCTGGAATTTCCTTTAAAATACCCAAAGAGAGAGAAAAACAAACAAAACTCAAAGAGTAATGACATAGAAAGGCACATGAAAAACCCAGGCTAAAGTTACTATCTGCAAGACTGAAAACATTCTAAAATATTTTCTAAATTAAATGGCCTTGATTTACATATGCATCTACAATCATAGAAAGAAAGGACCAGGTTACATGAAATTAAAATACTAGAAAAAGTAAATGTGGAAGAGATTCAGGAAAAATACATCTAATTAAGTCACTCAACCTCTCAAGTATGTTACTTTGTGTTAAAATAGGGCTAATTCCCACTGCATAGGGTTATGGAAAATTTAAATTAAATAAGATTTAAAGTGCTTTCATTTCATTTTAATTCAAAAATAATTTAATAAGCAGCTGTTATGTAGCACACACAAAGCAGTATTACTGTGATTAAAAATGGATTGAAATTAGTAATCAAATTCCAAATCAATCTAATTTAAAGTTACCATAAGGGCTAAAAAAGTCACATGTTTTAAGAGAGGCTTCATAGTAACAAGTTCCTAGATTACAGAAACCTGTTAAAATACATATTTTTATATTTTAAAATATTTTATTGAACATATTTTTATTTATAGATTAAATTAGATCTGGAAAACAATGTATCTTATTTCAAAACTATACATTAAATAAACTTTTTTGGCTTTTTCTTCCACTCCTAATAAAAACATAAATTTTAGGAAAGGCGAAATAAAAAAGAGAGAGAAAATACACTAATGCCTTTATTAACAGTAAAACAGAACCTCAATAATTTCTCATTGCCATAAGCGATTTGAGGCTTTGAAGGACAAATATTTAAACTTTTATCAATAAATATTTTTGTAAAGTTTATCAAATTAATTTGTTTTTTGCTTCCTGTTGATTTGTGATGTTATAAGCCATTATATAAAAGTTCAGATTTTTTAAAATGTTACTCCTTACTGAAATTGAGTGAAATAATCCAAGTTTGAAAGATACATATGACAGTAGAAATGACTGCTTTGCTTCTTATGTTAGCAATCTTGGTACATGGCAGAAAGTGGAATCTACTTGATGTAATTATAGATTTTCCTACTCAACTTGTCTAATACTACTACAATGTCTGAAAACACTCCTTACTATCTTGTGAAAACTGGTACTTAAGACATTTATTTTCAAAAAACAATGTATTTCTTTTCTTTCACAGGCCTCTTAACAAACTAACCAAAATTTACTATGGTTCACTGTTGCTGAAAAGTGTGCCATGTGTCATAAAGTCCTAAAAATGTTGTTACATATGCCTGTGAAAGAAAACTTCTGCTAGTGTTCTACTTAAAGGAAGATGGTATGATTTAATTAGCTTCAATCCCTATCCCCACAAAGTCACAGACTAGCTTCCAAGAAGCCACTGACCATCCCCTTGACCCCACTTCCAGAAAAACCCAAAGTAAAATACTTCTTAGAATTATGTAGTAACCTTCTAATATGACAATGTACCATCTGGTACAATTCACTAGAATTAAGACAGGCAATGGGAAAATAAGATGAAACTACACATTAAGAATGGAAAAAATGTGTAATAGAAAACAATGTGAAAGTTTTTCACATTTATGTCTTCACTAACACATACATTTAATGAAACATATTCAACAAAGATAACCAAATAGATTACAGTACTAGAAAACAGGTACTTAAAAAAAAGATTAATTTTAAAACTGGTTTCTCATTCACGTGCAAGCTAAAAAAGCTGATTTCATACAAGTAGAGATAAGAGTTGTCACTAATATTAGAAAAGGTAGGGGAAGGGAGACAGAAGGTGGGTCACAGGAACCAAAATACTAGTTAAGTATCACACTGTAATGTGTACATTCTACATATATTAATAAAGTCACATCTTAATTTCTTTTTACCAAAATTTGAAAATTAAATAAGATTAAATAAACTCATGACTTGGAAATTAAAAGAATTATTTGGTTGGTTTTGATTTTGGGGGGGATCGGTACTGGGTACCGAACTTGGGACCTTGTGCTTGCAAGGCAGGCAGTGGCACCACTGAGATAAATCCCCAGCCCAAAAATTATTTGGTTTTTAAAAGGAGGTTCTTACAATGAAGTCTTTGAATTATTAACATCATCATGATTTAGCAACACCTAGTTCTTTATTAGAAATATCATTTTTGGGCCATACCCTAGACTAAGTCAGAAACTCCTATACAATCTATGTTTACTAAACCTCTTAGTTAACTCTGATACACAATTAGTTGGAGAAACATTGATTAAAATGTTGCAAAAATATTTTAATACAAAATAAAATTTTTAAGAGACACCTTTTAACCCATTATAATCACCCCGTTAATCTCAACTACATGTCTATTACTTTAAAAAAGCTTTCGCAGGCTTAGAAACACAAGTTGCTCAATTTAAGAAAATTATTTTTCCTGCCTCTTCTCCGTGTCCTGCCTCTCTCCAGACTATGAGGCCAGCTGGCGGCTGTGGCTAAGTTTTGGTTGCTGGGTGACAAATCCAAGCTGGGAAAGTAGTGATAATGGCAGAAACTGCTTCTCCATTGAAGCTCTTTGTGCTAAGACAACAATTACTACAATCTTTGGCCAGTTACTAGAGTTTGTTACTGAAGTATCACATTTTGTTGAAGCAACATATAGGAATCCAGAACTTGATAGAATAACCACAGAGGATGATCTACTGGAAATACAGGGGTATATAAACAAGCTTTCTGGTGAGGTGCTATCTTGGAGACACATGAAAGTTGCATTTTTTGGCAGGACAAGCAATCAAAAGAGCTCTGTTATCAATGCAATGTTATGGGATAAAGTTCTTCCTAGTGGGATTGACCATATGACCGGTTGCTTCCTGAATGTCACAGCAACTGACGGAGATAAAGCCTATCTTATGACAGCAGGATCAGACGGAAAAAACAGTGCCAGAAAGTGGTGGGGCACTTGGTGAAGGATTTCAGGCAAGGTTACAGGAGTTTCCAAATTTTGAACAATTTTTTGAGGAGTGTATCTTGCAGTGAGCAGTGAAAACAAAGTTTGAACAGCACACTGTTAGAGCTAAGCAGATAATAGACACTGTGAAAAACATAGTGGATTCAATAAATGTGGCAGCAGCAGAAACAAGGGTTTATTCAATGGAAGAGAGAGAAGATCAAATTGATAGACTGGACTTTATTTGAAATCAAGTGAATCTTTTAACACTGGAAGTTAAGAAAAAAAATCAAAGAAATTACTGAGTAGGTGGCAAACAAGGTTTCGTGTGCAATGACAGATGAAATCTTTCGGCTGTCTGTTTGGGTTGATGAATTTTGTTCTGAGTTTCATCCTACTCCAAGTGTACCGAAAGCATGTAAAGTGAGTTAAATAAACACAAAGAAGATGCTATGGGAAGAAATTTGGCTACTGGTGCACCAATGAAGTCAATGCCCCAATGCTTCAATCCCAGCAAGAAATTATTGAAATTTTGAAGCCATGGCTTCCAGCTGATATACAGAATAAACTTCTTACATTGATTCCTTGCAAGAAGTTTGATCTTAGTTATGACCTAAACTGCCATAAGTTATGTTCAGATTTTGAAGAAGACATTGTATTTCGTTTTTCCCTGGGCTGGCCATCCCTTGCGTATCAGTTCTTGGGCCCCACAAATGCTCAGAGGGCGCTACTTGGATTATCAGAGTTCATCTTTCAGCTCCCTAAATCTTTAGCTTCTACTCCCACTGCATCTACTAATTCAGCAACTCCAGATAATGCATCACAGGAAGAACTCATGGTTCCTTAATGATAGGATTAGCTTCTCTTACATGGAGGACTTCTACGGGCATAACAGTTGTTGGGGGAGTGATTTGGAAAGCTATAGGTTAGAAACTCATGTCTGTTTCATTAAGTATGTATAGAGTGCTGTATTTTTATTAAAGGCTGACCTGTACCCCCATGCCAAAGAGAGAGCCTTCAAACAGCAGTTAGTGAACTGTGCAACTGAAAAACTACAGATGATTGTCAGCTTCACAAGGACAAACTGCAGCCACCAAATACAGCAGGAAATGGCTACCACTTTTGCTCGCCTGTGCCAACAAGTCAATATAGGTATCTGGAAGAAAAAATTGCTAGATTGACCAAAGAAATAGATCAATTGGAAAAAATACAAAACAAGTCAAAGCTTTTAAGAAATTTTCAACTTGAAAATGACCTGGAGAATTTTACTAAGCAGTTTCTGCATTAAAGCAATGAAGAATCTCAACAACAGGGATTGCTTTGGTGAACATGATAGGAAGAAGTAGAACTTGGAAGATGGGGACAGTTGTTATTTTTATGAAATGATTTCAGTTATAAATTACACTAACTGCATTAAATAACAAATCGCTGTATAGATTCTAGTAATTATCTATCCAGGGTATTTGTGTTTCTAAACTGTGATGGTAGGTCCTTAGTCTTAATTTTGGGGTTAAGAAGAGAAAAAAGTGTTTATTAATACTGAATTAGTTAAAAGCAGTAGAACCAACTATGTGACCAAAGGAGTGGGTCCTTGAGCTCTTCATTAGGGCTTGCTTTATTTCTGATTCAGAAAAACTCTGCTTCCTGCATCCAGGAGATAGAGAGTGATCCTTTTGTCTTTTTTCTCAAAACTAGTTTTCGATGCCCTCTTTAATGGGAATGGTCAGTGTTATTGCTTTATTTTATAAGCAGCACTGCTCTAACCAACCAGGATTGTGGAATGTTCTTGAGTGTATTATTTATGCAACTTAATCTCTTGGCCATTGTGGCAGTACGTAAACCACTAATAAATACAGTTTTTAACCCCCTAAAAAAAAAAAAAAAAAAGAAAATTGCTTTTCATGAACTTACAGTGCCATCTACTGACAATTGTAAAAACTGCGGCTAGAGAAGTTTTCTTTTTTTTGGAGGTTGGGTATTTTGTTTCAGCAAAGAGAGAAAAGTAACTAACACAAATGCAATAAAAATTTGAAAGATGCCACTTGCCTCACAGGCACAAGGACTGAGTTCAATCCACAGTACAAAAAGAAATCTACAAAAAACAGAAAAAATTTAAAATTTAATTCAACTCATTACAAAGATCATTTTCAGATAATCTCTTATTAGATCAAGTATTAGTTAACTTAAAACCACAAATTACCAAACAACAAAAACCTTAATCTTGGATTAAATTGGTAACATTACGTACTTAAAAAATAAAAGCAAGGAGGGCCGGGGATTTAACTCAGTGGCACCACTCCTGCCTTCCAAGTGCAAGGTCCTGAGTTTGATCATGGGTACCAAACAAGCAAACAAACAGAAAGCAAGGCTGGGGAAGTACCTCAATGCCATAGCACTTGCTTAGTATGAACAAGGCCCTGGGTTCAATCCCCAGCACTGCCAAAAACAAAAAACAAAAAAAGCATTTTCTGAGGCCAACTCTCTGAAAATACTCCTCCTGGTAAAACAAAACAACAGTGTGATAAACAGTAAGAGACAACTGTTTAAAACAATGTATATTTCTCTTTGTGCTTTGTGTATAATTATAGATGAGAAATGTTTCCACTAAAACCCTGTTTCTCCGCTTTAAAATAAGGGTTATTTTTACAACCTCTCCCCCACAGGGATCAAACTCAGGACCTTGTGCTTGTGAGGCAGTCACCACACCACTGAGCTAAATACCTGGCCCTAAGGGTTGTTTTTTTTTTTTTTTTTAAGTAAAAAAGACTTTATAAACAAATCCTCAGTAGCACAGGAACTAGCAGAAAGAATCAACAACTAGGATCTCATCTTATTAAACAGCTTCTGTACTGCAAAAGAAATATCAACAGAACTAAAAGACAACCTACAAAGTGGAAAAAAAAAATTTTACCAGCTGCTCCTCAGACAAAGGGCTCTTATCTAGAATCTATAAAGAACTCAAAAAAATCAGCCCCCCCAAAATACAAAGACCTGATTCAAAAATGGGCATCTGAAATGAACAGACATTTCTCAAAGAAGTAAAGCAACAAGTAAATATATGAAAAAATGTTCCACATCACTGGTCATTCGAGAGATGCAGATGAAAACAACACTGAAATTCCACCTCACCCCACAAAGAATGGCTGCCATCAAGAAATCAACCAATAACAAATGTTGGCAGGGTTGTAGGGAGAAAGGAACCCTTCTCCATTGTTGGTGGGAGTGCAGACTGGTGCAACCACTATGGAAATCAATATGGAGATACCTCAAAGAGCTGGGACTAGAGATTCCATTTGACCCAGTCATCCCTCTTCTAGGTATTTTTCCAAAAGAATTAAAAGACTCACATCACAGTGATATATGCACACACATGTTTATAGCAGCACAGTTTGTAATAGCTAAAACTTGGAAACAGCCCATTTGCCCATCAGTGAGAAAAAAAAAAGATTTTACTTTCCTAACTTGTTATCACACACTGAGAAAACAAGTATTTTATGTCCACGTCAAAAGCTACTTTGAGTTCTTCTCAACTTAGTTGGTCTATTCAGATACACTGGCAGATTGAATTTGAAAGACAATACACTCAATTCTTTTTTATTTCCTCATTGAGTTTATTGGTAGGTATACAGTACAGTTACATTCATCACTGGGATCTTGTACCTTTACATGACAGGTCTTGGTTCTCATTTTTTCCCCTTGTCCCTGCCCTCCCTTCACCCCTCCTCCTTCCCCCTTTACAAACACTTCATTTCCATTTTTTCATTATTTTTTCTTTTCTCTTGTTACCTTTCCCCTACCCTTCCCACTTTCCCTACACCTTTAGCCCTTTTCTTCCTATTTCACATTGTTCATTTATTAGGATCTTATGTACTATTAGTTTTTCATACCAGAGAAACTATTCAGTATTTACACATGTGACTTATTTATTTCACTTAGGAGTATATCCTCAATATGTATCCATTTTCCTATGTATGAATCTAATTTCTCATTCTTTATGGCTGAGTAGTATTTCATTTTATAGAAAAACCACATGTTCTTTATCCAGTTTCCAATTTCTGGGCAAATGGGCTGTTTCCAAGTTTTAGCTATTACATACTGTGCTGCTATAAACATAGGTGCACATATATCTCTTGTGGCAGTCCAGCCGTCACAACACGAACCAGCCTGAGTTGGGGAGTGAGGACTGAGAAAAGAAAGAACACTCAAACCTGAGTGGAGACCAAGAGAAGTCTGATTTATTTCACAGAAACAGCTCCTTTTAAAGAGACAACAACAGGAAGCTTTTAGGGGCACACAACATTAGGATGCACCAAGCAATTATTTTTATCTTTATGCAAAGACCGGATTTCCTGACTCTTACAGATAACATCAGATCTCCGGCTAATGAGCTCCTGATCGCAGGGTCAAAGAACAAAACAAGTTTAACAAACAGTGTCCTTGAAAAGAAACAAATGTTACATAGATTTTATCAATGCCTTAATTGTACAGGAAGAAGTTATTTTCCAAATATGAAACCCCGGTGGGCCATGACTGGCCCCCACAATCTCTGTGATATGATTCTTTTAATTCTTTTGAAAAAATACCTAGAAGAGGGATGGCTGGGTCAAATGGAACCTCTAGTCCCAGCTCTTTGAGGTATCTCCATATTGATTTCCATAGTGTTTGCACCAGTCTGCACTCCAACCAACAGTGGAGAAGGGTTCCTTTCTCCCCACAGCCCCGCCAACATTTGTTATTGTTTGATTTCTTGATAGCCATTCTAATCCTCAGTAGCACTGGAACTAGCAGAAAGAATCAACAACTGGGATCTCATCTGATTAAAAAGCTTCTGCACTGCAAAAGAAACCATCAACAGAACTAAGAGACAATCTACAATGTGGGAAAATGTTTTTACCAGCTGCTCCTCAGACAAAGGACTATTATCTAGAATATATAAAGAACTCAAAACAATCAGCCCCCCAAATATAAAGACCTGATTCAAAAGTGGGCACCTGAAATGAACAGACATTTCTCAAAGAAGTAAAAGCAGCAAGTAAAAGCAAGTAAATATGAAAAAATATTCCACATCACTGGTCATTTGAGAGATGCAGTTGAAAAAATACACTCAATTCATATTTATCTTCTCCCACCAATCTGTTAATGAGGCTGAACATGTATGAAAAAGAATGAGAAAACTATATGCTGACACAGGACTGATTCCCAAAAACAGAGGTTAAGTAAAATGAAAAGCTAAGTTCAGAATAATCCACACCACCACTTTAAAAAAATTAAAGTTGAAAAAAAGGAGGTAAACCCAACACTGAGGGAAAGCTGAGGCAGGAGGCTCCTAAATTTGAGCCAAGAGTGGGTCACTTAATAACTCAGAAAGATACTGTTATCTAAGTTCAATCCCCAGTACAAAAAAAAAAAAAAATACTACTACTAATAATAAAAAGGCTGAAGATATAGCTCCGTTCAAAGACACCAGTTCAATCACTAGCACGACATATAAATGGGGAAGGGGAAAAGAAGAAAGCTGCACACTCCTGTCCCATCTTTGCTGTCTATGTACAATGTATTTCTGGAAGAAAACACCATCTATTGGTAAAAAAAGACTTTCAGGGGATGTGAGGTTGGTAGTCAGGAATAAAGCCATGAAAAAACTTTACTTATAAAACCTTTCTGTAACTTGCAACTATATGAAAGTATTAGTTACTCAGACCAGGGATTTAGCACAATGGCTCTGCCTTCTACCTCACAAAGTGCAAGGTCCCAAGTTCAATCCCCGGTACCAAAAAAAAAAAAAAAAAAAAAAACCACCAAAAACAAAACTGTACATGCATCTACGTAACTGTTCAATCACACACCATATCACAAAATTACTTATTATTTCTCACCTCATTATTTTTTGAGACCTTCTCTCAAAAATAAAAAAAAAGACTCTAGATTATCAATCAGTGCAAAGGCCCTGTGGTTCAATCCCTAGGAACACACGCCCACACCCACATACACATGCACATGCATAGTGATTCTTAAAAAACATTAGGAAAATCTGTTTTCAGTATTCTACAAAACAAAACAGGGAGGTCAGAAAAATATTATTTATCGTCAACAGAGCTAAAATATATTAGTGGAAAATGAATTTTTGGGGGGTACCAGGGATCAAACTTGGGTCCTTGTGCTTGTGAGGCAGATAGCGGGACCACTGAGCTAAATCCTCAGCCCATAAATTTTAAAAAATAATTCCTATCTACAGTTATTACTATCTACAATCATTCCTAACACATTTTAAGAGGTATTTTAGATATTTTCTAATCAACCAAAATATTTTAAATTTTATCACTCTTTTGGTAAAAATAAAAATGACCCAATTATTTGAATAAATATTTCCAATATAAATGAGAATTCATTAAAAAATATTCCTAACTCCCAAACCCAAGAAAAGATTTGCGGGGGGTTGGGGGTGTACTGGGGATTAAACCCAGAGCCTTCATACTGATCAAGTCTTTTCTATTTTTTATTTTGAGACAGGGCCTTGCTTAGTTGCCTAGGTAGGACTCAAGATTGCAATCCTTTTTCCTCAACCTCCCTCAGTTCTGGGATTACAGGTATACACTACCATTCCTAGTTTGAGAATAATTTTTTGAAGTTCTATTAACTTTCTAGAGTCTGACTTGTATCAAAACAAATGCCACAATAAGTCTCAATAAATACTGTGCAATTTGAGGTACTTACAACTAAAAATAAAGACTAACAAAAACACAATTTTTAAAAAACAAAATCATGAACAGTGTTAACGACCCAGCTCAAAAGTAAATGCAAGTTCAGCTACGTGGAAGAATTTGGTTCAAGGTCATGAATATGTTATTGAGCAATAAAAGCAAGTCACAAAATATACACCACAGTACTCTCCTATTTACCTAAAGTACAAAAATTATTTTTTCAAAAAAATCAAAGAAAAAATGGTGTCTGTTTTTTAAAGATATAAAATAAATAAGCTCTAGAAATAAAAGTAATGGTATAACAAGCAAAACAATAAATTTACTTAGTCTAAAGAGAAAAGGCTTCAAAGAAATGTTCTTATCTTACAACTCTTTTTCTGAATACATGCATTAAAAAGAAGATAGAAGACTTAAGAAATTTTACCACTTAAATCATAGTACTTCATATATAATTTGTCATCAATTCTGAAGAATATCATTTATCTTCTAAACATGCTGTTTTTTAAAAAATTCATATAAGAGCCCGATACTCTGGGACGCTGAGGCAGGAGGGTGACATATTCAAGCCCAGCCTGGGTAACTTCAGGTGAGACTTTGTCTCAAAATAAAAAATAAGGACCAGGGATTTAGCTCAGTGGTTCTACTGCCTGCCTTGATCCCCAAAACCCAAAAACAGACAAACAAACAAGCAAACAAAAAACCTTACTCAACAAAATGAAAAAAATAAAGTGGAATATAGCTCAATGTGAAAGCCCTGGGTTCAAGCCCTAGTATCACACACACACACAAACACACACACACACACACACACACACACACACACACACACACACACGTTATGTAAGAAAACATTTCATGTTGGGCCAGGGATTTGTCTCAGTGGCATTGCTCCTGGCTGGCAAGCACAAGGTCCTGAGTTTGATCCCCAGTACCAAGGGAAAAAAAAAGATATAAGGAAATGTTTTGTGTACATAATTTCAGATTCTTAAAACCAATATTTACTTATGTACTAAAGTATAACATTCTTACTAACATATACATAAAACTCAGACCTGATCACTCCTACTTAAAGACTGGTAGACAAACTCTATACCTGAAACAAGTTTTTAACGTATGAAGGGCACTGAGTAATTTCAACAAACAATTATTACTATTATTACAAAAGATATCCTAATATTACCTCAAACAAGATTCAAAGGTAATTTTCTAGGTGAAATTGCTCTAGGGTGCTGCTTACTAATTTCTTCATGTATCTGAAGCCTCTCTCCAAAAGTGCCTATTAACAGTAAATATGTGTGAAATTCATAGTATCATAACATTTATCTATATTAAACACTAATAAACTTTAAAATTTATATTACAAATGAAAGCTACATTTGTAACATTAAAGTTCCTCTCTTTTGGCAAGAATGACATCTAAAATTCTATGGTAGTAAAACATTATAATCAGTAAATCATCATTTAAAACCCAGTCCCTGGAGAATTCCAGCCCTTCTTTCATCAAAACACATTCTATATCCAACTCATATTATGAAATACACATGTTGCACAAAGATATGCTGCACTCCTTATACTCCTAGCAGTTAATTATGAAATAAAAATTCATTTTATGATGTATCCTTTGTATCACACATAACATTCTAAACTAATGAAGCCTACATATATGCTCGTAAAAGTCTATGAAATCTATTAATTAGACTTATAGAATCAACAGTTTTAGATCATGACTGCAGTCAGCTTATAGTTTAAAAGGTTAAATTAATTTCTATACTTGCTTTGACATTTAAAAATCTTCAGTGAGCTGGCTGAGGTGGAACATACCTGTAATGCCAGATACTCAGGAGGTTGAGGCCAAAGAATTTTAAGTTCAAGCCCAGCCGAGGCAACTTAGTGAAACCCTGTCTCAAAAAAAAAAGAAAAAAATTAAGAAGGATGGAAGCAGGATGTGGTGGCGTGAACTACCCATAATTCCAGCACAATGAGAGGCTGAGAAAGGAGGATCACAAATTCAAGCCCAGCCTAGGCCACCTAGCAACTCAGCAAGATCTTGTCTCAAAATAATAAAAACAAAAATTTTAAAGGGATGTAGCTCAGGGCTGGGGATTTAGCTCAGTGGTTCTGCCACCTGCCTTGCAAGCAAAAGGACCAGAGTTCAATACCCTGTACCAAAAAAAGGGGGGGAAAGGGATGTAGCTCAGAGCAAAAGCCCTGGGCTCAACACCCAGTATCACTCAAATCAAAACAAAATCTTCAATGAATCTCCATTATAAAAATACCACTAGTCCAGATTCTTTATATTGGCAATTATTTCTCCCAAATGATACAGAATGTACTTCTAACAGAAGTATCTTTCATCTCAAGAACCACTTAGTTTTATACTAACACAGAGAGGATTTACATGTAAACTATATATTATTCTTCAATATATTGTTCAATATCTAGAGCAGGATCTGACTGCAAATCATTATTCTAAATAAGCTTCTGCATAATTTACAAAGGTAAATTATTTTATATAAGCAATAAGACAATTTACAATAGACTTTTTTGTTGCGGTACTGGGAATTGAACTCAGGATCTTGTGTTTGCCAGGCAGGCATGGCACCACTGAGTTACATCCCTTACCCCTTCAATAGACTCTTTCTGTTTGTTTGTTTGCTTTTTGGTATGGGGGATCAAACTCAGTACCTTGTGCTTTCGAGGCAGGCGTGGTGCCACTGAGCTAAATCCCTGGCTCACCCCCTTAATAGACTCTTTAAAAGACTCTTAAAAAGCAAACATATCTGTTTTTAAACTAAAAAGTTTTAAGTGGATTTTAATTCAGAATAACCCTTGAGGTTTATTTTTTAAAAAGCTATCTTTAAAGTAAATGTAGTGTTCAGTATGAAGATTATGAAAACATGCACTTTTTGCAGAGGTAATGTTTAACTTTGTGTAGACTCATTCCTTCCTCCAGTAATATGTTTGGATCTCCAATATGGTTGAATTTTTAAAACTAAGATATCTAAGGCTGGGCCTGGTGGCGGATGCCTGTAATCCCAGCACTTGGGAGGCTGAGGCAGGAGGATCGCTGTGAGTTCAAGACCAGCCTGGGCTACATAGTGAGTTCCAGTCTCAACTACATAGTGAAATCCTGTCTGAAAAAGCCAAAAAATAAAAATAAAATAAAATAAAACTAAGATATCTATAAAAATAAATTTTCACATTCTGTTAATGATTTGGATACTTCATGAAATATTAAAGACTTGTGAAATTTTAAAATAAAGGCTACTGGGTATATTTAATAAAAAGTTCTCACATTTATTCCTAATCTTAGAGCACAAGCTGTATTAAAAAAAAGATCTCTTCACTATTCTAGATACAAGTCTTGAAGTATAGCTAAATTAAAATAAAATGATACCCTTTCAGTGCCCTACTTGAGTCACAAGTTGGAGCTACAGAGCTTACCACATGGGAGAAAAGATCCTAAGAAACTTAAAAAGATTAAGTAGAGTAACTAATTTGTGGTCAATACAATTCATATTAATCCAAAGATCTTGACACATGAAACAGTACATTCAACTCGCTGAAACCTTTAAAAATTTATTATTATTCATTGCAATGTCAGTAAGTAGTAGTTTAAATCAAAAACATAATTATTTCACTTTTCCAACCTTTTAGCAATATGACTTTTCTCCTGTTTTTATCAGATTACTATCTAACCAATATTTTCTAATCATTCGAATCTAAAAACAACTATTTAAGGAAATCCTATGGTTTCATAATTATTTCAGGCAACATTTATTAAGAGGTAAAGATGATTACAAGAATATTAGCTGCTCTAAACAACAATCATGAAAATTTCAGGGAAAATTTGGAATAACACTACATATTTTTAAAGAGTAAGGGCTCTAGAGCCTGGAATTTAGCTCAGTGGTCCTGCTGCCTGCCTTGTGAGTGAAAAGTCCCAAGTTCAATACCTGGTACCAAAAGAGTAAGGGCTATATACTCTCAAAAGATTAATAATATTTTGTTCTTCACAAATTGGCCTAATCTGAAACTAGAAAAATAATTTTCCTGTTTGTACTATATATTATCTATCTTCAACAGGATTTCTTTGCCCCAATTTTTATACTATTTCATTTTGGGGGGCTTTATTTTTTTGAGACAAAGTCTTGCCATGTAATTCAGGCTGGTCTTGAACTCACTATGTTCAGGCTGGCCCCAAACTTGCAACTATTCTCCTGCCTCAGCCTCCAAAGGTTCTTTTATATTAGAGGGAAACAGACCTCTAATGATTTAACAATATTAAATAATTGTGACATTTCCCAGAAAATGAATGTTCGTTTTCTTCACCAGCTCTGTGGCTACTGTTATTTAGTAAGACTTTAATGGACCAAAGAATTTTAAATTATATATGAACGTTCTCATTTAAATGTAAATATTTGAATTAACTTTCACATATAATCTATAATTTTACTAAATGAAAAAACAAGTGCTAATGCTGAAATTGTTCTTACATACTATTACAACTTTACATTTTATTGTACTTCAAACACCAGTTAAGATATTGAGAAAAATCATTACATACTAAGTTGCAGAGATTTTTCCAAGCCTTCATAATAATACCAATTTTCTGCTTTCCTATCAGTTTTTGAATACTTCACTGAGTTCTTTTAATCTTCCCAATTTCAACAGTATTTCTCCTAAAATTAAGCAGAAAGACACATTTATTTTACTTAGACATTAAATAGTTTTCTAATCCCAGATATTTTTACTAAATATTATTACTGAATAGATGTTTATGGGCTGGGGAGTTAGCGCAGTGATAATGCACCTGCCTTGCAAGCATAAGGTCCTGAGTTTGATCCCTGGTACCAAAATAAATGAATGAATGAATGAATGAATGTTTATGAAAGACTCCATGTGTTTCCTCTTGGGGCATGACAAAACACATAGGTTAATTCACAATTCACAACTTGCCTTCAGAAAAGAAGCTTCATTTATGCATTCTATCATGTTAACATTCATTTTTGGCTCCTTCTCAGTCCCCAAATATACACACAGGACATTAACTTGTTAAAAAATCTTTGCAAAATACACGTTTTACATACCCTTTGTAAGAACTGAAGTCCTTCTTCTAGACGGCAAAATTAGATTGTCCTATAATTTTAATGAAATATGCCTGCCGTCCTACTGCCCAGATTTAAATGTATTTTTCCTGGTCAATTCATATATTAAGCAATTATTCACTCAATTCTGTTTCTTTTTAAGATCATTAAAATTGGAGAAGTTAACTTAGAAAAATTACAACACCACACTCCACTTCATAGAATAAAATGACACAAACCATGTTCGTGCTCTAGGCACCTCTGTGGTTCAAATCCTTTTACTAAATCATAAAAAATTCAAAGTGGGTGAGGGGAATGAGATAATGGAAAGCACACCTAAACCAAAATAAAAGAGAGTCTCAAAAATGCATATGCTTCACAATATTTCCAGTTCTCCAAATAATCTATTTCAAATAACCCTTTGAAATGTCTCCAATACTACTTCAGCACTCACCATATTGGAAGAGAAAGAATATCAGATGGTTCCACATACTATTACTTCACTCCTTACAGCTATCATCAATTAGACTAAACTAGGTTTAATTACAGTCTCCACCTTTACTACCTTTGTGATCTTGAGCAAGTAGTAAGTCCTGGTAAAAAGTGGATAAACATAAATGTTGGCTACTTAAAAAAAAAAAGTATAAACATTCCCTACTCGTTCACCCACAATTATTTTCTGGCCAGTCCAATTATTACTCTGATTAACTTAGATATAATAAACAACAGAACATTTTTCATTTCCAAAAGTATCTGTTATTTGCTACCAAGAAGTAAAGGTTACTACTGGAGAGACATACAGGATAATTAAGTATACAAGCATATTCATAAGTATGTGAAAACTAACCTGTAAAGTTTTTAAAAAGATCTTAAGCTAACAAGTCCAAGGATATAAAGGTGTATCAGCTAGACTTGCAAAGTACACTGAAAAAATTAAACTACCATAACCTGCCTATAGAGAAAAGTGATTATATATAACATTAATAGTCCCCAGTTATCATCACTAGCAAAATACAAGTAAATGTGGCTAAGAGACAATCTGCAGAATACAAAAATCAGTTGTATTTCTATATACTAACAATGAACCCCAAAAATGAGATTAAAAGATATCATTCACAATAGCATCAAAAGGAACAAAATAGAAATACATGTGAGAAATAAAAGCTATAGACTGAAAACTGCAAAATACATCAAGAAAAATTAAAGACCTAAACAGAGATATTCAATTCCACGTTGGTAAAATGCCAATTCTACTCAAATTCATCTATAAATTCTCCCCAAATTCAATTTCTACCAAAATCTCAGCAAACTTTTTCACATATATCAACAAGCTGATCCTGAAATTTATATGGATATGCAAAGGACCTAGAAAAGCCAAAACAATCTCAGAAAAGAAAATATTAAAAGGATAAGCATTTCAAACTTACTATAAAGCTGCAATAATTAAGACATTGTAACACAGGCATAAAGACAAACTCAAAGATCAATAGAAGAATATAAGATCCAGAAATAAATTATTATATTCAACTGATTTTTAATTAAGGTGCCCAGAAATGATGCTTGGAAATTAAATATTCACATGCAAAAAATTACCTTCAGCAGGGCATGGTGGTGCACTCCTGTAATCTCAGTACTTACTGTGAGGCTGAGGCCTTAGAATCTCTAGGTCAAGCCCAGCAAGGGCAATTTAGATTCTTTGTAAGGCTCTTCTTAAAATTTCCTGTTTACAAAAGTAAGCTCTCTGTCAGTGTTCACTTAATTTTACATAAATATGCTCTTTGAGGCTAAAGCAAATCCAACTGGTTTTCAATGGGAAAATAAAATCTAAAAACTATTCCTAAGAGTTATTTTAAAGAGAACTTGTCTTTAATCTTAATGTAACAGAAATGTGTACAATGATCAGTATTTTTAAAAATTTTAATGTGGTAAACTTTAAAGCACTGAACACAATGGAGTGAAACATCATATTCTACACAAAAATACTGGGTTTCTCTCTAAATTTTTCCATCCTTCTTGTTGTCTAAGCACCAAACTGCAGCAACCCACAAAATTTCGTTTGTCTCCCATCATGCATACAGATTACATTTTCTAGGACCTAACATTGTCAGTGAGAGAGGATTAGTGTACTAATTTTGTAAATAGAAATACCACTACTAAACCTGAATGTTATTTTAAAACATGCCATCTTTTTTTTCCAAAGATTGTCAAAATACTAGAGCAATGTGGAAATGATAACCAAAGGAAGGTATTTTGTGATAAACTTTGGAATAAGGTTAGGACTGTAATATATTAGTTATCTCAGAGTAAACACTATAGCCACAAGCACTACAGGCAAGTATTTTCAAGGCAAATATAAATGGTTTGATAAAGGTATAGGGAGGTAGCTCAGTGCAAAGGCCCTGGGTTCAATCTTCTCTACCACCAAAAATGAAAATAAAATAATAGAGCTGGGCTTGGTGTTGTATGGCTATAGTCCCAGCCACTAAGGCTGAAGTAAGAGGTTGGCTTGTCTACAAGTTCAAGGCCAGTGTGGACAACACAGTGCGCCTGTATTTCAAAAAAATAAAATTAAAAAATATAAACCCATAAAAACAAATAGAACATGTAAGATTTCAACAAATTTCTGGAAGGTGGAATGCAAATAAGGAATAAGCTATAAAGAGGAAATCACTAGAGTGAGTCCTTGCCATGGAAAACCTCCGACAGAGTTTAAGATTATGCAGTGATGGATAAACAGATATGAGACTTCAGGCTGGAGTGTTAACTGACAGTATGTGACCCAGCTCTCACATTATCCCCATCAACCCTGCAACCAAACCCAAGTGTAGAATATCCCACCAGAAAAGTAGAATTTTCCAAAGTAAAATCTAGAAAATGGATTCTAAGCAGAAAAAAAAAGAAAAAGAAAATAACAATAAAAATCTTGTTAGATTAAAAACAAGTCTGCCAAATAAAAATTTTAGTGAAAGATTTAAAAGTAAATGTATTCCTGCCTGTGGTGGTAGTGATGATGGTTATATAATCTTCAAGTGTTAATTTCATAGAATTATAAATCAAAATAAGGTCAAATTTAATGCACAATACTTTTAAATAAGATTTAAAAACAAGAAGGAAATTCAATAAAGGTATACAAAGTAGAATAAAAAGTCAAGAAGACTGACAAATGTTAAAGAAGAGTAAAGACAATCTAGGATGATATTATTGCATTAGTAAGTGTTCCAAACAAGAGAAACAAAGCATATAAGAAATGATCAAACATTCTAGGACAGTATCTGAGAGCTCAAAAATATACTTTGGCTTACAAGGTCCACGAGAGCACTGACATCTTTAAGATCAATACTTATATACATCCTGGTAAAATTTCAGAACACAAGGGTCAGGGATTAGTTCAATAGCTAAATTCAATCCCCAATACCGCATTAAAAAAAAATCGGAACACAAAAGTTAAAGATTCTTTTGGAAGAAACACACACATATGCATGCACACATGCACACACACAACAGATGACTTAAAGGACTTCAGGCATCAAATTTCTAATTGACAACAATAGGCACCTTCAAAATTCTAAGGAGAAATTATCTGTCTACTTACAATTCTGTAACAACAAGTACAAGGATAAGATAAAAACAGTTTCAGATACTACACAGAGGTTGAAAATTTACTGTCCCATAACCTCGGCTAGACAGTTACTAAAGGACATATTTTAGCAAATTAGGTAAATAAAGAAATAACATTTTCAGGAAAAGATTAAAACCAATCTTGGCTCAAAGGGGGACAGAGATATATAAGAAAAAAGATTCAATGAAATATATCTGAAGACTGAGAAAGTCCTGAAGCTCCAAAAAAGGCATAAATTATAAAAGGAAAAATTTAAATTCCTAGAAAATCTAAAAGTTGCAATGTGTGGTAGTGCACACCTATAATCCGAGCAAACTGAAGGCTGGCCTGGGCTACACAGCAAGTTCAAGGCCAGCCTGAACTACATAGCAAAACCTTATCTCCCCCCCCCAAAAATAAATAAATTAATTAAAAGAATATTATGAAAACTGTATGACAACAAATAAGATAACTCGGATAAAACGAACTAATTCCTAAAAAAATACAAATTACTGAAAAGAATTAAAAAATCTGAAGAGACTTACAGCAAGTAAGAGAATCAATTAGTAATCAATAAATTTCCCACAAAGAAAAAGATGTTATCACAAGTGAATTCTACTGAATATTTACAAGCCCTTCACAAACTCTCAGAACAGAAGGTTTCACTTTTCAACTCATCTGGTGAGGCCAGTGTTACTCTGATACCAAAACCAGACTTGGACATCAAAAAAAAAAAAAAAAAAAAAAAAAAAAAAAAAAAAAAAAAAAAACAGACTAAAATCCTTTAACCTAAGAAATACAAATTAAAAGAAAAACGAAATAAATAATTTCATTCCAAGATTGGTAAAAATTAATAAAGCTGACACCATGTCAGCAAAGATACAAAGAAACAAAAACTATAAAACCCTGTTAGTGAGCATTAAATTAGTAAAGCTACTTTCCAGAGTGATGATAAAAAATGTTTGTGGCAAAGCTGAAGATAAGTGCAGAACTCTATAATTTGAGTATTAAATTTACACTAAAGACAAACTCATGAATGTGGCCAATAAATCAACAGAAAAGAATATTTACCATAGTACTATTTAGGGGGGTTACTGGGGATCAAACTCAGTACCTTGCACTTGCAAGGCAGGCAGCAGAACCACTGAGCTAAGTCCCAGCCCACTGTAGTACTATTTTTAACAGACAAAGTAGAATTAAATATTTATTTATGTAATGGAACACCAAACAGTAGTTCAAAATGAATAAACTATCCCAACTTGTATTAACATGGGTATGTCTCAAAAAATATTGAATGAAAAACCTATTATTCAAGTTTTTAGGTTTGTCTGGTTTGGTTTGGTTTTTTGAGACAGAATCCTGCTACGTAGCTCAGGCTAGCCTCAAACTCATTATGTAGCCCAGGCTGACTGCTAACAAATGGCAAGTCTCCTGCATTTAGCCATAATTGAGTGCTGGATTACAGGTATGTGCCACCATGTCTAGCTTATTTATGTAAATTTAAAAATACAAAATACATTTTAAAACAGCGTATGTTTTAGCAATGTTTGCATAACATAAACAGAACAGGGGATTACCTATATAAATCAGTGGAGGCAAACTTTTTATTTTTTTTATTTTTAAGGCAAACTTTTTAGAGCTTTCATAACAAACAGCTGGCTGTGGCACAGATGCCATAGGTTCACCATCAGTGATCTCTACTAATTTCAGAATAGTGGTTACCTCGGAAAGGCACATAGGAGGACTCTAGCCATTTCTGCAACATTTTATTGTTTTTAATAATAAAATCTAGAGCAATTATGTAAAATGTTAACGTCTCATTTCTCTGATGATACACAAGTATATGCTGTCACATTTTTCGATTTTGTATATAAATACAAATACATTAAAATGCATTATATAAAACAAAGTGTTATATACACATATTTAATTGTTTTGGAAGTGCTGGGGATCAAATCTAGTATTGCAACTTGTGCATGCTAAGCAGGGACTCAAGTACTGGGGCACATCTTCAGTTACATAAAGTAATATATATGTGTGTATATATATATATATATATGCATACACTAGTATATATATAGTATATATACTTACTAGATAAACAATTCGACAAGCCCGTTTTTATTTTTACATATTTTCCTTCTCTACTTATTTGAATACTGTTGAAATTATAGTATACAAATTTTTATATTATTTATTTGCAGTAAGAATTCCATATCTTCACTTTTTCCATTATTTCATAAAGTTTTCAGTTTTTTCATAGGTTTCAAAGATTAATTCAAATTTGGGGGTGGAGGCAGTTTAGAAATCAACTATTTTATTCTGTGAAGGTAGGAAATGTTAAAATAATGCTCTTACTTGCTGAGTTTATCTAACTTCTTCCAGCAATTTTATTGCCATATCATAATTTTTCAGCAAATGGCATGCAGTGGCATATCCAATACAGGAAGCACACTGTGTTGGATGCAACTACAAAAGCTGGTATCGTCTCCTTTAATTAAAAAAAAAAAAATTGGTTTTTATTTTTTTAAATTTTAATTTTCTCCAAAGTGTTTATATTTCATGAGTTTTAAGAGAACAATCTAATGTGTTTAATACTTTTTTAGTGAAGACAATAAACACCAGTTCCAGAATAGTATAGAAATATTTTTCACATTTCTTATCAAAATTACTTAGGTTTCAGGCCAGGGATTTAGCTTAGTGGTTCTGCCACCTGCCTTACAAGCACAAGGACCTGAGTTCAATGCCCAGTGCCAAAAACAGCAACAACAACAAAAAAACCTTGGGTTTCTTTTATTAGTTATATTAATACCTTGCAATATTGTGAGGCTATCAAGGAAATCTTACTTTTGGGGGGGTCATGCCTATGGGCTCACTTATAAAATACCTTATAATAAAAATTTCTTCTTATAAATTTAAACATTTTTTACTGAAAAAGACTGCAATGGCTTTTTATTATACTAGATTCTTTAAAAAGTATATGAAATACAATCTATTTATGTTGACCCCAGAGACAGGATGAACATAGTCAAGGAAAAAAGACCTGAATTGTCTCCTCTAGCAGAAACACATCTACTTTCGCTGTAAGAAAGCTCAATTTCTTTAATATTAGGGTCAAATAACCATAAATTCAATCATGGCCTAGAAAAAGCAGTATCTGTCTGAACAGAAAAACCAGCCTCCTTACAGAGGTCCCATGTCTCAAGGCTCACTTTTTTTTTTTTCAAGGTTTAAGCAAGTGATATTGCTTGGAAGAACAGGGTCGCATGAAGAACATTAACTGGAAAAGTGTTCGATTTCCACGATTCTGTTGTTACTTGGTTAGAATGGATGCCAAGTGAGTCCAGGCACACCATATGCCACAGGTATAATTTTCCATTCCTTTTTTTTTTTTTTTTTTTTTTTTTTTTTGGTGCTGGGGATTGAACTCAGGCCCTTGCGCTTGCAAAGCAAGTGGCGGAACCACTGAGCCAAATCCCCATCCCTACACTCCTTTTTTTTTGAGACAGGGTCACACTATGTAGTTGAGACTGAACTGGAACTCATATGTAGCCCAGGCCAATCTCGAACTCACAGCGATCCTCCTGCCTCAGCCTCCCAAGTGCGGGGATTACAGGCATGTGCCACCACACCTGGCTGGGGACACTAATTTTTATATTTTATTTCAACTACAAAAACCGAATGTCAAAGCCAGGCATACACCTGTAATCCCAGCACTTGGGAGGCTGAGCAGGAGTTGAAGGCTAGCTTAGGTTACACAGTGAGTTCAAAGCGAGCCTGAACTACACAGAGACCCTATCTCAATGAAACAACAACAACAATAACAAAACACAAAAATACTGAAACCCAAACCCACAGGCCTCTAGTACAGCATCTGCATATAAGACATGAAGACATTCTAGGTTTTTTTTTAATTACATAAGTATACAGTTTATCCCTATTTAATACTTAACTATGATGTTCCAGAATTAATACTGTTGGGGGGCTGAGAATATAGCTCAGCGGTACAACATTTGCCTGGCAAGTGTGAGGCTCTGAGTTCAATTCCCGGTTTAAAAAAAACAGAATTAATAATGTTGGAAGGTGCTAAATGACTTTCTCCTCTTACTACAGATTCTACTAAATCAAACTGGCTGATGCTCACATAATTGCGGATTCACATGGCTTTAAATTTAACCTACTGCTAAAAAACAAAATTCGTGCCAGGCATGGTGGTGCAGGCCTGTAATCCCATCGCTCCAAAGGCTAAGGCAAGAGGATTGCCAGGAGTTCAAGGCCTGACTACATTACACAGTGAGTCCAAGAACAGCCTGGACTCCATGGTGAGACTCTGTCTCAAAAAACTAAAACACACGTCAGTCTCAATTACATAGTAAGACCCTGTCTCAAAAAAAGAAAAAAAAAACACAAAAACTAAAACACCACCAAAAAACAAGAAACAAAATTCATTTAAGACTGACGTACTTACACAGTAACCTTCAAGGTCTCTCATTTGGATCTGCAACAGAGAGATCCCTCAAAATTTGAAGATTTTCTTTATCCAACCTGAGAGCATTTTGGTAGCACTTAATAGCTTCATCACATTTCTTTCTTTTGCAGAGGGTGGTTACTCTGGACTGAATTCGGGACCTTGTGCTTGCAAAGCAGGCAGTGGCACCACTGAGCTAAATCCTGGGCCCAAGTTTACCACCACTGATATTCAGACCTCAACTAGTTTTGTAATGCTTTTGCACAATAATTTTTATGTTTAGCCTAATCCTTTTGACAAACATTGGCTACCAATGAAACAAGGTAAAAGAAACAAATATGGACTGTATTAACACCAGTGCTAGAAGAATAATTCAAAACAAAATCTGCTGGGGATTTAGTTCAGTGGTGCTGCCACCTGCCTCACAAGCACAAGGTCCTGAGTTCAATCTTGTACCAAAAAAACCAAAAAAAAATCACCTACGAGTAGATCAGTCATACCATTTTTTTATTGATACCATATTGATATTTGCTGACAAATATCAGCAGAAATATAAAAAGCATATCTACTGAAGAATAGAATACATATGATTTTTTATCTTTAGACTACTTTGCAGTGAAAATATTGTCCTAATTTTATAAACAGGAAATCAAGGTATAAACTTAAAATAGTACTCAAAATAATAAAGGAAACTGGGTCTATAAAAATACTAGTACAGAGCACTTGGGAGGCTGAGACAGGAGGATCGCTGTGAGTTCGAGACCAGCCTGGGCTACATAGTGAGTTCCAGGTCAGTTTCAACTACATAGTGAGACCCTGTCTCAAAAAACAAAACAAACAAACAAATCTGATTTCTGGGTTTTTGGATTAGAGGTGCTCAATTGGTATTATATACAAATATTCCAAAATCAGGGAAACTATGGAACTCTGTAACACTTCTGATCCCAAGTAACTTATATATTACCTCATCCAATTTTACCCCCAGTAGATCAACCATTTCTCATCTAAAAGTAAAAACACACTACATATCCCAGACAATTATGCAGTCAACAGGGAGCTGCAAAGCCTTGGAATGTAGGGAAGTACAGTATTCTTTCATTGTTAAGAGTCATGGCCGTTAGATTTCCCCACAGCAGTCTCTCAACAGATAAAACATCACCTCCATGTTCAGCAAATTTGGGGTTTGAAGGAATCATCTTGCAAAACTTGAGGCCATTTTTGTATTGCTTCTGTTCATAACATTTCTGCAAAGATAAATTGAACAAGTTATTTTTAAAATAAATGTACAAAAGCTTTTTATCAATTGGTAGCACTTTCAACAAATGTTCTTTTTGTTACTACTTGTCAAACTATTCTACAATCTGAGTAATTTCACATTAAGAGGAAATAGATAGAGAATATAACTGTCAACCTGAACTACCACAGAAGTTAACTGAAAATTCAAAAGGAAAAATGTGTAATAAAAAATTAGGAATTCAATTACAAGTCTTTGCTACTAGAAGAATAAAACCAATGCTCCTATACAAATATAGACTATCATTTACTGAATGACGGTGTCTGTACAAAACTTGTTGTGTACCTTAATTCTTTATAATTTTTAAAGTATAAAAACTGTTCACTTATCTTAGTACACATGTAAATTGCATAGTTTTTAAAATCAGGTTAAACATACTTATCTCCTGGGGGCAACCCACTTTCCATCTCTTAGACAGAAGCTATCTTTCTTTCAATAAATTCTTCCTCCTCTTAACCTCCTCTATACTAGAATTCTTTTTTTTTTTTAATTTTAGAGAACATGAGCTTGCATTTCAGACATGTAGCAGGTTTCGGAGTTACATCTGTTCCCCCTTTATCATTTTGGAGGTCTTCCACAGAGATTATTGGACAGAGGTAAGAGTTTTCTTTCATAGGCTCTAATGTTGGTCTTTTGCTTCATTGATTATAACTTTTTGTTTTGTAAGTTCTTTTTTTGTTTGTTTTATAGTATCAGGGATCAAACTCAGGACCTTGCACTTGTGAGGCAGGCACAGTGACATTAAATTAAATCCCTGGCCAGTAGTTTATAAGTTCTGGTTCTTGTTTTATAGATTCTTTTTGTTTCAGCATTTGCTTCAAAATTGTCTTAATTTTAAGGTGTATGTTTTAAATTTTTGCAAATTGCTTACTTCTCTCATGATGCATTCTCCTTTGCTAAAATTATGTTTTATTCTTATTTTGCAAATGCTGTGTTTGGACTTAGTTGCTTAAAAATGATAATTCTACATGGCCCAATACATCTGAATGCACTCTGGTTTACAAGCAAGTCTATGTAATGTGTAACTGTTGTCTATTAATGTTCTACAAGTATTCAACTTTTAAAACAATGATGGTTGATAGAAATAAGTCCTCTAATATACTTTATATTTCAAAGTGCTTGATATCCAGGTAAAATTATAATAGTTAAGCTCACTGTTCCCATTATGATGCTACTGTCACTGATCTTCTCTTCAAAACTAGAAAGGTAACTGGGCTAAAAAGACAGCCAATATTTTGGTCCTGGCCCCTCAAGGTCAACAAAGATCGAAGACATGAGGGAATCTTTTCTATGAGATCCTACATCTTCAGTAAGTCACCCAACCTCCTGAGCAGGGAGATTGCTGGACACCAAACCAAAAAATGTACCGACCATGTGCCAAGAGAGGGTCACCAAGAAGAAAAAGTCCCCCATGCTTTCACTGAAAGCCACATAGTCATGGAAGGCTGTGACACGTCCTGATGGCTGACACTGACAGAGGAGCTGAGAGGCTCCATACAAAATAATGTCTGGGGAGAATTAAGTAACCTTGATAGAAAATTAGAGGTTCATATTGATAGACACGGATCTCAGATCTCGCTTTAACTTGGTCTTAAACACCCAGCAGAAAAGAATAACCAAGGGCTGGGCGTGGTGGTGCCTGCATGCCTGTAATCCCAGCACTCAGGAGGCTGAGAAAGGAGGATCACTGTGAGTTCGAGACCAGCCTGGGCTGCATAGTGAGTTCCAGGTCAGTCTCAACTACATAGTGAGACCCTGTCTCAAAACACCAAAAAAGAAAAGAATAACCAAAATATGTTTAACCACAGTGTTGAAGCTAGATAAGTTAATTAGATATCTTGTAGGCAGGTTACACAAGGCCAGCCCGCCTGGGTAGGGGAAAAAGATCTTCCAGGAAAGATCCCTGAACCACCCCTTACCACTGAAAATTCTTGCTCATTCCTTGTATGCTTTGCTGCTTGCTCCTTGCTACTACATGACTTGTTTCCTGATGGATCCCCATTTAATCAATATTACCTAATCAACTATACTTGTTATAATCTTATTGGTTGTTTCTCATTGGATCAGTATTACCTAAGTGACAGTACTTGTAATCTTACTAGTTGACCTTAGTTTTGTCCCACCTTGAACCCGCCTCACCTCACAGCTTCGACCAATAAAACACATTTGAGAGTTGGGAAAGTGAGCGACCCACTTTCTGGTTCCCCTTGTCTATCTTACACAGAAGCTATCTTTGTCTTAATAAATTTTCCTACTCTTAACCACCACTGTTTCTGGAATTCATTCTTCGATTTTAGAGAACACAAACTCTAGTTTCAGATATCTAGTAGGTTTGGGAGTTACAACTCTCCCCATATATCAATAGTAGTAAAGTTAGATACAAAAAAGGGGCTTCAATAGTTGTCCCCTTCTGGCAGTTTCCAGCTACACTGGTAGCTGATCACAGTTATGGATCATTAGGAAATATTATGGTAGAATCTATAAGAGCTCAGCTAGTTAAATTTCCTAGCTAAATATGTCCTTCAAATTGTCTCTATCTTCTTACAGCTAAGACAGACTGGAGAGACAACTTACAAATAACCTCCATCAACAAGAGTCTGACTCACTATTTCAGTTTCTAAGTGTGACTCTTTCCCAACCTGTTTAGTGCTCATGCTTAGAATATACATGGTCTAATTTCTTTAAAAATTTATTCTTGCCTAGAGGCTGCCAGACTCCTAGTGGTCATAAAAATGGAACCAATGACAAGTGTGCTAGACTTCTCTTACCAGGATCCACCAGATAGATCAATCTTATAAACATAAATACTAAATTATAATACAATGTCTATGTTAAATTGTTTTTGGTTTTTTTTATTGTTGTTGTTGTTTTTGGTACTGGGGATCGAACTCTGGACCTTGTGCTTGCAAAGCAGGCAGCACCACCACTGAGCTAAACCTCTGGCCCCTAAGTTGAATTCTGAAGCCCCTTGGACCTTTTCCTCTTTGTGGGAGACTATTAGTTCCTCCTGGTAGAATGCTTGTTGGCATCATGAAAAACACTGTATTTTTGCCTTTGGTTTATGTATATAAGGTATTTATGAAACATAAATGAATTTCATGATTTGACTGAGGTTCCATCCAAAAAATACCACGTTCTGTATATGTACATATTCCAAAATACTTCTGGCCCCAAATTTTCTAGGTTGGTTTGGTTTTTTGAGACAGGGTCTTACTGTGTAGTTCAGAATGGACTTGTACCCACTACATAGTAAATCAGGCTGGCCTCAAACTCATGGCAATCTTCCTGCCTCAGCCTGCCATGAACTGGGATTAGAAGGTGAGTACCACCATTCCTGTCTGGCCCAAGTATTTTAAAATGCAGGATTTGTTACTAATACTCAATCTTGAAAATACTAATTTTAATAAAAACAAAACAAATACTACCATAATAATACTACTGTTATCCTATAAAAAGGAATGTATTAAAATGATTTGACAAATTTACTATAGATGCTTTAGTCATGTTTCACTCATTTGTAAGTACTCTTGAAATAAATTTAATCTTTAAAACACACACATGCACGCACGCGTGCACACACACACACACAGAAATGCTTGTTGGCTATTTTCATAGCAATCCTGCTGACCTTATTTGGCCCATGTATTCTTAACTGTTTCTTTGGCTTTGTCTCCTCCAGACTCAAAGCTATACACATACCCAAGATAACAATGCTTGGGTAGAAGGTGAGCACCACCATGCCTGGCTGGGCACAAGTATTGCCCCTCCTATAGAAGGCCTTTAGATAGACCAGAGGGTATAATAACTCTGACTGCTGATCACAAGTACGGCCCTCTACAGCCTAAAATAACTGGAACAGTCTTTGCCCTTTGCCCCCTTACAGCTGTTAGGGGTACTTTTGCAGAGGTGGTAATACTGTAGATAGATAAGTTAATTGGATATCTTGTAGGCAGTTAGACAGGGCCAGCCCTTGAGAAGCCAATGAAGGACAATCAAGGAACCAACATGGAGGATAATCAAGACAGATTCAATGAAGGCCAATATTATAAAAGAAGAATAACTACACCCTCCTGCTTCCTCTAGGGAGGAAGAGCAGTGACTGATATTCTAAATAGGTATCAATCACCTGAGTGGGGGCCAACATCTTAACTTCCCCTTTCCAGAAAAGAACCCTGACCCACCCCTTACCAAAACCGCTTGCTCATTCCTTCTATGCTTGCTATATGACTTGCTTCCCCCCTGGGTCCCCATTTAATCAGGATTGCACTGTACAATGAAGGTACACATAGAGCGGGAGAGGAGGACTGCTCACTGACTGCCATCTCTGCTGCCATGCACTGGGTTAAAAATGACAACTAACACCAACCATGAAAGTTGCAGCAGTACTAGCCCAAGCATCATCAATGAAGATGTGATTATTAATGGTTACTCTCACCAAGATGACAATCCATTCACAGAGCACATGAGGATGGAAAATGAAGAGGAATTCAACAGACAAATAAGAGTTGTGGGAAGAAAAATTTACTGAACGTTTCCAAGAAAGGCTGGTATAGAAAGTGGTTTATTCCAGCTGATATCTCCCACAAACAATGGAGTTGGTCCAAGACCGATTTAATGACCTTGTTATCAATGACTGCTCTTCTCTGGAAGATCTTGTGGTCAATAGCAATCTGAATCCAAATGCAAAGGAGTGAAGTACTAAAACACTTGAGTAGACGGGCCCTCTTTTGGATGTAGCACAATTTCCACGCTGTGAAGACAGTATTAAGTCTTAACTGTTACACTTATGCATTGCCCAAGTTTTTGTTAGTCTTGCATGCTTAATAAAAGTGCTGAGACTGTTACTAAGTAAAAAGCTGTCAAACATTTACTGAAAATAGAATCGGCCCCATAGCCAATGTAAAGACAGTGAGGAAAGAAGCACCAGTCAAGTTCTGACAAAACACCAAA